CTTCTATTTCAAGAAGGACTCCCTGTGGCAGTCTGAGGATCTTGGCGCCGTCATTGGCCAGGATGTTGGACGTACCTGCATTCTTCAGGGTCCTACTGCTGTCAAGTTCTCCAAGGTCATTGATGAGCCTATCAAGGACATCCTTGACGGTATTCACAAGACGCACGTCGAGTACTTGACTAGAGACCTTTACAAGGGCGACAAGAAAGCTATTCCTACCATCGAGTACTTCGGTGGCAAGCTGATCGAGACTGAGATCCCCGTTGAGGATGTCGATGGCCTAACCGTCTCCTTCGATGATGCCCACAAGAACACCTATCGCCTTTCGACATCGCCTACCGCGACGCTTCCCAGCCTTGATGCTTGGTTGGCACTGCTTGCTGGTCCCGATCGCAGCTGGCGGCACGCTCTTCTGACCTCCGAGGTCGTTGTTCAAGGTCAAAAGTTCCAGACCAACCCGCTCAAGCGTATCTTCGCGCCCACCCGCGGCCTCTTCGTTGAGATCCACAATCCCAAGGACGCGAAGAACACCAAGATCATTGTTAAGGAGCAGCCCCGTCACAACCAGTATGTGGACGTCATCGAGGTCAAGCTGGAGGGCAAGAACGAGATCGTTGTCAACATGATCAAGGATACTACCGCTCTCGGCAAGCCCGTGGCTCTGCCCCTCAAGTTCACTTACCACCCTGAGGCCGGCTACGCCCCGATCCACGAGGTCATGGAGGGCCGCAATGACCGCATCAAGGAGTTCTACTGGCGTGCGTGGTTCGGCGATGAGACATTCAACCTCGACGCTGATGTAAGCAGCAAGTTCGACGGTGGTAAGGCTACCATCACTGGTGAGAGCATCAACGATTTCATCCACGCCGTTGGCAACACTGGCGAGGCCTTCGTTGAGCGTCCCGGCAAGACAGTCTACGCGCCCATGGATTTCGCCATCGTCGTCGGCTGGAAGGCCATCACTAAGCCCATCTTTCCTCGCACCATTGATGGTGATCTGCTCAAGCTTGTCCACCTGTCAAACGAGTTCCGCATGAAGCCTGGTGCTGAGCCACTTAAGAAGGGCGACGAGGTCTCTACCACTGCTCAGATCAACGCTGTCATCAACCAGGAGTCTGGCAAGATGGTCGAAGTCTGCGGCACCATTTACCGCGACGGCGAGGCTGTCATGGACGTCACCTCTCAATTCTTGTACCGTGGTGCTTACACCGACTACGAGAACACATTCCAGCGTAAGATGGAGACACCCATCCAGCTGCACCTGGCTACCAGCAAGGACGTCGCTGTTCTTAAGTCGAAGCAGTGGTTCAACACTGATGACTTGCCTCGCGACCTGGACCTCCTCGGCCAGACTCTAACCTTCCGTCTTCAGAGCTTTTACCGCTACAAGACGAAGACGATGTACAGCAGCGTCTCCACCCAGGGCCAGGTCCTTCTTGAGCTTCCCACCAAGGAGGTCATCCAGGTCGCCAGCGTTGACTATGAGGCCGGCCAGTCTAACGGCAACCCTGTTGTCGACTACCTCGAGCGCACTGGTGCCCCTCTCGACCAACCCCTCAACTTTGAGAACCCCATCCCTCTCAGCGGTCGCACCCCTCTGCAGCTCCGCGCCCCTGCTACCAATGAGAACTATGCCCGTGTCTCTGGTGACTATAACCCCATTCACGTTTCCCGCGTGTTTGCCAACTACGCTGCCCTCCCCGGCACCATCACCCACGGCATGTACTCGAGCGCTGCCGTTCGTAGCTTGGTTGAGACCTGGGCTGCTGAGAACAACATTGGCCGTGTCCGCAGCTTCCACGCTTCTCTGGTTGGTATGGTGCTCCCTAACGACGACCTTCAGGTCAAGCTTCAGCACGTCGGTATGGTTTCTGGCCGCAAGATCATCAAGGTCGAGGCTAGCAACAAGGAGACTGAGGAGAAGGTCCTTCTTGGTGAGGCTGAGGTTGAGCAACCAGTGACTGCCTACGTCTTCACCGGTCAAGGTTCTCAAGAGCAGGGCATGGGCATGGAGCTGTACGCCAGCAGCGACGTCGCCAAGGACGTCTGGGATCGTGCTGACAAGTACCTCTTGGACAACTACGGCTTCTCCATCACCAACATCGTCAAGAACAACCCGAAGGAGCTAACCGTTTACTTCGGTGGCCCTCGCGGCAAGGCCATCCGTCAGAACTATATGGCTATGACGTTCGAGACTGTTGCCGCCGATGGAAGCATCAAGTCTGAGCGCATCTTCAAGGAGATTGACGAGAAGACCACCTCGTACACCTACCGCTCACCCACTGGCCTGCTGTCCGCCACTCAATTCACTCAGCCCGCCCTGACTCTCATGGAGAAGGCTAGCTTTGAGGACATGAAGTCCAAGGGTCTCGTTCCCCGGGACTGCACTTTCGCTGGTCACTCCCTAGGCGAGTACTCTGCTCTTGCCGCCTTGGCAGAGGTCATGCCCATTGAGAGTTTGGTGTCGGTCGTCTTCTACCGTGGCTTGACCATGCAAGTCGCTGTCGAGCGTGACGCCGCTGGCCGGTCCAACTACTCCATGTGCGCCATCAACCCAAGCAGAATCTCCAAGACGTTCAACGAGGAGGCCCTGCAATTTGTTGTTGACTGCATCTCTGAGGAGACTGGCTGGCTCCTTGAAATCGTCAACTACAACATTGCCAACATGCAGTACGTTGCGGCCGGTGACTTGCGTGCGCTCGACACGCTCACTGGCGTCACCAACTTCCTCAAGCAGCAGAAGATCGACATTGAGGAGATGCGTGGAAACATTGACGAGGCCAAGGGTGCTCTCAAGGAGATCATCAAGGGCAGCGCGGAGGCTACGCTCAAGAAGCCCACGCCTTTGGAGCTCCAGCGTGGCTTCGCAACGATTCCTCTCCGCGGTATCGACGTGCCCTTCCACTCGACCTTCCTGCGGTCTGGCGTCAAGCCTTTCCGCTCGTTCCTTCTCAAGAAAATCAACAAGACGACGATCGACCCTGCCAAGCTTGTTGGCAAATACATCCCCAACGTGACGGCGAAGCCTTTCGCCATCACCAAGGAGTACTTTGAGGATGTGTACAAGTTGACCAACTCGCCCAAGATTGCTCAAATCTTGGCGAACTGGGATCAGTATACCCAAGACGGTCCTGGCCCTAACGGAGTCAACGGCCTCACTGGGGAGCACGAGGGCCCCGGCGCGGCAGCATAAGCTGTGTGCAATTGGCGTGGGCAGGAGTCCGGGCTACGTACGGTATTACGAATCACAAAAGTGAGAGGAATGAAGACGGTTCCTGACAGGGGTACTGAATGACTCTAGACGGCGAAAGCGTTGTACAAATTAGGGATGTCGTTTCTTGATGACTGTTTTATCATGCTGCGTTTAGAAAGCTTAGTGTTTGGTCTTACTTTATTTGGGGCGTTTGTCATTCTAGAGTTTAATGGGTGGTACAAGAAGAGAATAGAGCAACTAAAGTTCAACGAAGGTGGAAAGTTTCCGAGAGGCGTGTGATAAATTGTCCGATGGCACTGCTTTGTCCAACGCGCAAACAAGGCAGGGTGGTGATACAATGACTGATGACTGGGGACTAGTGGCAAGCACAACAGCCATTTTGACGGCGGGGGATCTACGAAGAGTGACTGCAAGGACCCGGAACACAGATGCTTCTTCTCCCGAATGGCGCAGCATGGGCACGGACGGGACGACTTCGACTATCCGCCCCGAGGGGGGAGAAGGGCCATTATGGACAGAGACGGATGGCGGTGGAGAGGGCCAAGTGGGATATCTTTTTACTGTCTGAGACATATGCCATGCCATACTATGTATGCCGTGCCGCCCTGACGAGAACACAATAGCTAATCAACTTATCAGGCGGTAGCTTTCAAGAACGAGGGGTCAAAGCTGCCGGATTGGGGGGAAGGGGGGAGGGGGGGAGCTTTGGGAAGAGCTATGCGGATGAAGGCAAGCCGAGGCGGGTGGGGAAACCTGGGATTTGCGGGCGGAGGAGGTGGAGGAGAATGAAAGCTGCGGTCGGCCAGCGGCGAGCGCCGTGCGACGTGCGTGCCGGTGCGTTGCGATGTGGGGGGCGGGGCGCGCGCATTGGTGGTGTTGTTTGGGGTCCCGGAAAGAGCGAGCTTGTGTCCGTAAGTCGAGAAGCAGCTGCAACCCAACAGTGCAATCCCAGATTTTATCACTAGAGAAATTTGTTCATGTTATTGCTCAATGTTGTTGCTATTGTTGGACTAGTCATATCAAGCTAAGAATGGGATGCTTCTTTGCTTTGACGGTCCCGTTGAGCTGGGCCACCCCCCCTGTCAGTCCGTCTCCGTATTCCGTCTTATCTCTTGGAGGGGTAGGGTGAAGGGGGGGAGCGGGGGAGCCCCGAAGACCCGAAGGAGAGGGCCGCCGGGCAACTGACAAAACAAAAAAGGTCGAAGCACATGCTATTAGCGATGCGCGTCATCTGTTGCACTGCATATATCTACCGCGTCCCCCTTCCTTTGTTTTTCTAGTTAGTTTCTTCGCTGTCTATTTGCTCTTTTGAAGGGAGGGTTTTTGGGAAACTTGTACCGAATTGACGAGACCTACCTTTATCCTGCCTTTCCTGACGCACTACCTACCTACTTGAGGGAACTTTTCAACTTTATCCCGTGACTCCAATTCTTAGAGGACATTGATTTGTGCAATTTGATTCCGATCATATCCTTGTGGTAGTCTCGGTGAACGAAAAGCTTGTCAGCAGTAGCTGTCACCTGCGTTTCGGGAGACACGGGGACAGGACGTGACGGAAGAGAAAAAGAGAAGAGAGAGAGAGAGAGAGAGAGAGAGCATCGTGGTGGGGGTTTGTTTCAACTGCGGACTCTGCCGACGACAGCCGAAGACCGGGCGCCAAACCACATTATCCCGACGTCACGATCACCTACCTACCTTGCGAACGACTCTATCATTCAATCTCCAGTTTCAGCCCGTTTTTAGAGAAATTTTTCACCTTGGCTTAGAGACGGATACTTGCAGCATAATGGGCGACATGATCCGGGACTCACCGCCCGCCGCCGCCGCCGCCGCAACGGACACGGAGACGCAGACACGGAACAAGCTCTTCCTGGGTTCCTTCATCCACTCCAAGACAAAGGAGCAGCTCGAGTACCTCCACGATGCGGCCATCTGCGTCAGCGCTTGCGGTACAATTGTTGCGGTCGAGACGGACTGCGATTTGAAGAGGGCCGAGGCCGAGGTTCTGCCGCGCTTGGGCTGGACGGTTGGCGATGTCGAGGTTCACGTTGGCAAGGAGGGGCAATTCTTTTTCCCTGGTTTTATCGGTAAGTTGTCTGTTGCCCGTCTGGTTCGACGTGTCTCAGCATCCTCCTCCGTGCAAAATGAGACATCGTAACCATGGAAGGGCTGGCTTGTGATGCTACCACCCCGCAATCTGAAGCTAACCAACCCCACCAAAACGACAGACACCCACGTCCACGCATCGCAATACCCCAACGTCGGCATCTTTGGCAAATCCACCCTCCTCGACTGGCTCAACACCTACACCTTCCCCCTCGAATCGAGCCTCCAGGACCAGAAAAAGGCGAAACGCGTCTACACGGCCTGCGTGAAGCGCACCCTCGCCCACGGCACCACCACCTCGGCCTACTACGCCACCATTGACGTCGACACCACGAACCTCCTCGCCGACATTTGTCTCGCCCTCGGCCAGCGCGCCTTTGTCGGGCGGGTGTGCATGGACCGCGAGGGCCTGTGCCCAGAGTACTACAAGGACGAGTCGGCCGCGGACTCGCTGCGCAGGACGAGGGAGACGGTGGAGTATATTCGGACCATTGACCCGGCGTTTGAGCTCGTTGCGCCGATTCTGACGCCGCGGTTTGCGCCGGCGTGTTCCAGCGAGGCGATGAGGGGGTTGGCGGACATGCAGAGGGAGCTGGACGTGCTTGCGCAGACGCATATTTCCGAGAACGAGGGGGAGATTGAGCTGGTCAAGGAGTTGTTTCCCGAGAGCGAGAGTTATACGGACGTGTATGACCAGCACGGCCTGCTGGGTGAGAAGATGGTGCTCGCGCACGCAATTCACCTGTCTGAGAAGGAGGCGGATACGATTGCGGAGCGCGGGGCCAAGGTGTCGCATTGTCCGTGTAGTAATAGCTCCATCACGAGCGGGGCGGCGAGGGTAAGGTGGTTGTGGGATAAGGGGATCGATGTCGGGCTGGGCACGGATATGAGCGGCGGATATAGCCCGAGTATACTGGAGGCGGCGAGGCAGGCTGCGTTGGTGTCGCGGCATGTTGCGATGGGGTTGAAGGGGGAGGAGAAGGAGAGAGCCAAGTTGACGGTCGAGGAGGTGCTGTATCTCGGTACGAGGGGCGGTGCCAAGGTTGTCGGGCTGGGGGCCAAGGTTGGCGGGTTCGAGGTTGGGATGCAGTGGGATGCGCAGCTCATTGGGTTGCCGGTCGTTGATGAGGATGGGGAGCAAGTTGAGGATGGTAATGTTGACATCTTTGGGTGGGAGAGCTGGGAAAACCGGGTTGCCAAGTGGGTGTTTAACGGGGATGATCGGAATACCAAGATGGTTTGGGTCAAGGGACGAATGGTGCACTCGAGGCGGTAATTGAGGACTGGTAGACGGATGGTAGATGTTGGTAGACGGGATGCATGGGAAGGTCTGGCGTTTGATGGCGTTGCTAGCTTGTTCGGCATTAGCTACGACTTCTGATTAGATGTATAACGAGGCTCAGAGCTGCTCACGTGGATCTCCAATCGCAATTCTGTTATCGTGGACATAATCATGCAGTGCAACTCGACCTGATCCAGTGTTGGATGGCTGAGCAATTCGAATTTGATTGGGTATATTCGATTGCTTCAGATAACGAGGGAGGCGCGGTTCCTCCAATGAAGATGGGACTCGTCAGCAGAACATCATTTCGATCAGGCTGCGTCTTGCCGAGCGACGCACCTTACACGCCCAACTTCCCATTTCCCCCGCTCTCCTCATCTTCACTTGTTCATCCCCTCCCTTCTTCTATCTGCTGGCAGTTGTCGTCACCGATTCCTTGTCTTTGTCACAATTAGAGGTTTCCGCGTGGGTTGCGGTAGTCGATTCCGCGGCCTATCTACAAAGAGCTTCTCGATTCGCCTCCTTAACCTGCTTCACCTTGCCTTACCCCCTCACTCGGAAAAGCCACACCATGTCTGGTCTCGAAGGCATCGCGGTCCTGAGCCTCGCCTGCAACGTTATGCAGCTCATCAGCTTCGGTCACGAGGCCGTCTCGATGTGCCGACGCATCTACGAGAGCGGCTCGCCGGAGCCTGGTCTCGATGATTACGCCAAGGGTCTCAAAGCCGTCTGTGATGATTTAGAGAAGTCACTAGGCAAGAAACCGACACCTGCTCCCACTGTGAAAACACCGCTGTCGGAAAAACGCCTCCTAGATTTCGCGACGAAATGTGTCAAGCACGCCAAAGATCTAGAAGAGGAGATGAAGTACCTCTCCCCCAGTCAGCCGGGCACATTCGGAGCATTGGCCGTTGCTCCAAAAGTCATGTGGCGGAAAAAGAGACTTGAGAGACTCAGACTCAACCTGGCTGATGCGCAGAAGCTCATGGATACGTCTATCCTCGAGCGGCTATTCTTCAAAGCGGAGGCGACATACAAGATGAACAAGCAGGGCTTTTCCGAGCTGAGTCAAGAACTCAAAGCGTTCATTGCGCAACATGCAAAGTCTGGCAGCGTCCTTCAAGACGTCGTGCAGAAACAATCCACGGAGATCCGAGATCACGTCACTACGCAATCCTCGAAGACGCAGGAAGTTATCAAGTCCCACATGTCCCTCGAGCTCGCTCATCATGGAGCTTCTGTCAACGAGCATGTTTCGCTGTCAGCCCAGAGTGTCCAGAATGCCCTTTCCCAGAGGATGGAGTCCAGAGAAGACTCTGTGGCAAGAGAGCAAGCTTATCAGCAGCTTTTGAAGAGTCTTAAGTATCCCGGAATGAACGAGCGGAGAAATCAAGTTACACAAACGCACCCAAGAACTTTTCGGTGGATCTTCAGCAGTTCTATGGAACTCGGTGGCTCGGAGTCGGAATACTCAAAAGAAGACGGATCCAGCGCAGACGACGATGAGACTGAAAGCATTGACAAGTCGAGCACCATGTCAGAAGAATCATCTGAGTCGCCGGATAGCTCCGACAGCACTGGATCAGCTTGGCCTCAACCTCGGGATAATCTCGTCGACTGGCTGAAAGATGACAATCGAAAAAGATACTGGATTAGCGGCAAACCAGGGTCAGGGAAGAGCACGCTCATGAAATACATTGAAACAAACGATAAAACCATCGAATACTGCAACCCAGGGACTCGGTGCATTTCTCACTTTCTATGGAGACCCGGCACTTTTATGCAACAGAATATCAAAGGCCTCCTTTGCTCTCTGCTTCATCAAATCCTGGCCGACGAAAAAAGTATCGCCTTGAGAATTCTGGATAACCAGCCAAGTCTCTCAACGAAGGACTCATACACCGATTGGACTGTACATGAACTGAAAACAATCCTTCTGGACTTGATACGAAAGTCAGCTTGCACATACTTGGTGCTTTTGGATGGCTTGGATGAAGTCGCTGATACCCCGGATGAGGGAGCTGGCCGACTTTTGCACCTCATTGACGAGCTTGTCGCCACAAACCAAGTCAAAGTCTGTGTTTCTAGTCGCCCTGAGCCAGCCTTAAAGCGGAGCCTCGAAAGGTACCCGATGCTCAAGATCCAGGATCTGACCAATCGAGATATTCGTTTGCTTACGCGAGACCGACTTGCCGCCATGGAAATTGACCTTGAGAACGTCAAGACCGATAAGTTATCTGATCTCATATGCGGAAAAGCTGAAGGAGTTTTCATATGGGTCGTTCTTGTTTTGAGTAGTCTCCAGCGTGGTCTCGACAATTACGATGATGTGAATACTCTCTATCGCCGCGTTCAGTCCTTGCCCAAAGACCTGACGAAACTGTATAAAGAGATGTGGTCAAGGATGAAGGAAGACAGCGACCTCTATCGCAGAAAAACAGTATTGCTTTTCTATATGGCGATGGAACTGAAGGGAATCTTTCATGATTGCCATTGGGGGCTTACAGACAACCTTGTTGGCCTTGTCATTTCTACAGATGATGAAATGTTGGAGTCCTTCACCTCCCGTGATGAGATACCCGATACGGGGCTACTGTGGGAAAAGTGGCGCTGCTTAGGGATGGGACTATTAGCGAGATGTGCTGGGCTACTGGACATGACCGGCGCCGAAGAAGCCTTCTCCTCGCATAATACCCACGAGAGCAAGTTCAAGTCTTGGGGCAGAACGGGCATTCGTTTCACGCACAGGACAGCTATCGATTTTATTTGCCACAGCGAGGAGGGAAGAGAACTTTTCGGTGCTCACATTCCGAGACGCGACGATCTTCTTATACGGTCTATCAAAACAAACCTGATGTTTCATCGTATCAGACGTAGACCGTATTTCACCAGCACTACGTTTCCCTTCAGACCTACTTTTCCCGGAGGTACAGGACCCTAGCCCCTAGAACTTCTTCCTTACCATATCCTTGCCCGGATTGCATCACGCCGGACCATACACGATCTACTTTCGTTCGCGTATCGATGTTTCGAGTTCGTGGACTTAGACCAGCAAAGACGTAGCCTTCAGCGATATTCAAAAATTAGCATGCATCATTGGTTCCTAGCAATGGCATCTTACAGATATGACTTTGTCGATTGGGCCATTGAAACGCTACCGGCAGCGACGGCAGGCGAAGAAAAGCTTCGAATGGAAACACTTGCTCTGCAAGGCGCATGCGAAGGTGTTGCAGCCTTCGACTCGGAGAGTTCGCCAGAAACCAAAACTCATCGGCTTTCATTGATTCGAAGAGTATTGAGGAATTACTCTGATTCTCGAGAAGGATTGACTGAAACACCAATCCAGCCAGTTCGCTTAGCTTACTTCAAGGACATTTCAGTGGCTTGGCGTTGTCTTCTGATGAACACATTAGAGATCTTCATACAGCGGGCAGACGCTCCTCCTCCTTCGCACAATGAGGAACTGGTGGAATGGTGGCGCGATGTAATGACAACTATTGATTGCTTTTCATCGGCAAAAGTACTGGAAGAAGTCAATGCTCAGAGGTACATTGTTCAAATTACACCGGATTTAGGTCAATTCCGAATACCCACAGAAGGAACCTTACCCCGGTGGTGGTCGATCCTTTTCGAAGTCAACGACGATGCGATCTTGAATTTAATCATTAAGGCTGCTTCTCAAGTTCCTGGATTAAGTTCTCTGTCGAAGCTTCTAGCTAAGCCAACTTATTATCCCATAATGGCATTGAAGGCTTTCCATGGGCCTCCGAATGGAGAAATCAAATGGGGTCGCGAATCTTACGAAATCCAACAAGAGGGTAGCATCAGTGCCGATCGGTTACTCATGATGATAATTGAAGAGAAAATCCGGAACTTTGATGACTTGAAGTCCGTATCCTGCGGGCCCTCCCTTCTACAGACACGAAAAATGGGTTCGTTCCGCGACTGGATTGCGGCACTCCGGGCCATCGGTTATGAAGTTGGCACCGTGAATAGGGAATACCAATGTATTAAAGATATAATTTTTGGAATAGAAGGCTGAGGTCGGGCTCCTGGCTTCAACCTCACTCTTCTACTTCCATGCAGAATTAACATACCGTCACTTGACTCTTCTTCACCTATTTGACTGTGTGATAAATCACCTGTGGTACGATGACAACACTATTCGTAGATATTAAGGCGATTTCAGTAGAAAAGAATTTATCAACAGCTCATGCATTCTCCAGACTGCGAAATAGACTGGACTGTCTATTCAATCTAGCGAAGTGGTTAATGATATAGGGGAGATACTGATTACTAGCTCTGAGACACTCGGTTAAGTGGTGATTGAATATTGATTGCCTTAAAGCACCTTATGCTCGCCTGCCTGAAACCCTGATCAAGATCTTCTCTTGCCTAACTAGTGCAACCATCGCGGATGTAGCGCACTAGCTAACGTATGTCAATTCAACAACCTCTAATATTGTTTTCAAATGTATGCTATATCTAGTCTCTATGTGGATGACATGATCCGTAAATTCTATCCGCAGCGCTCACGCATACTAGACGATGTTGCCGTTGCGTATGCCAGATCTAGACCGCACAAGGCCACTGCTGAAACGGAGAATACCTACATCATACCTACCATGATATTTAATTTGAAGCTAAAGAGTATTTGCAAGAAAATATCAGAGGATAGGCTGCCACGCAGGGGATATCTGCGGAGGAATCATCTCAGTGAAGAAACTTTCAGGCGGATGCGATGGTTTCCTGGAAAGCACAGTTCCTGCGAGGGCTTCCCGCTTCATAGGAGTTGTGTGATTACTTTTGATATTTCAGAAAGCCTTTAGACCCAGGCTGACAGAAAAATCAGAGCCTAGCATCCGATCATTGCAATCGATTCTGAGGGTTCATTTCTATTTCGACAGAAAGCGCATACTAAGGATCAAGTCTATCAAGTTCCCTATCAGCCACAATATTGTTTGCATCAATCTATTTAAAAGTTTCAAGCACGAGGGCGAATTAATATTGGTTTTGATGTCCAAGCGGATTCTGCCGGCTGCAACGTTCATATCGCTTAGGCACCGACCTCCTCCCAGCCAATGATCTATGAAAACCGTATCGATTAAGGAGGACAAGGGTTGAACCAATGGTCAGTTTCGTCCTGGCGATATCATTGCCAAGGCCATTGCCTCTAAAGTGCCAGATGTTGACTATAGTTGATGGGTAATGTGACTCAGGCCTAAACAGTTGATTCAGTGTTATCTCAATTCTTCATGTTGCTTCAATAATGTATGCAGAATTGCATGGAACCTGACTGGTCGTTTAGGCTTATGCGAAGGATGTACTCTATCTGCTCTGTTATCCCAGGTCTTTACACAGACCGTCACCTGACAGTTTACTATGTAACAGTTATGCTACCTGGATCATTTATCATCGCGTCGTGCCTTGCTTTCTCATTGGTTTTATAACTTCCCGTTCATGTTCTAAGTCCATATTTCTGCCTAAAACCATACACCCGGGTAAATCAATGACGGCATCGGCCATCTGAAGGCCGAACTGCATAAAGCAAATGAACATCCTCATTCAACAAACACTGAAGAGCAATATGCAACGTAAATTCATGAGGCAGATCGCCTGGAAAGTGATGAAACTCGACATCTCAGAAGCGTCAAAATTAGGCAGAGAGTCCACGGACGCATCCGCCTCAGAGTGCAGCTTCCCCTGAGAAGTGCGGCCCAGGACGTAGAAATTATCATAGGCCAAGGCAAACTTCGCCATTAACCTACAATTATCAACCGCCTGCTATCTGAGCCTCTGACTGGTAAACAAACCTGCGGCTGGGAGAAATCAAGGCTGGGTATTGATACTGGTCAGCCAACAGACTCAGTGGCGGTCTTCTGTAGGGTGACGACCTTCACAGGAATGGCCTCGTCTAAGTGCATAATAAAGTCAAGTGGAGTGTCTGGGGCTTGGACGGGGGAGACAATCTTCGCCCATGTCCTCAAGAGGGTCACGTTAGGAGCATGCCAGTCTAATTCTGAAATAGCCGCGTAGACTCGAAAGAAAGCAAAGAGTTTTGGGATAATTCATAAGAGAAGTGGACGAAGCTGTCGTCGATCGAGTAAGGCTTAGTTTTGGTGGGGGTGACAGGAATACCTAGATAGCTTTAGCAATTGTCGGTTGGTACCGCATAGTCTTGCCCACCCCTCTCAGTAGCGGTACTTAAGCATGTAGTTGCAGCCCTGGGGAAGGGGCAACATGTTGATTTACGCTTTGGGTGGCAAAGATCTGGAATCTCACTTGAAATCGCCTGTAGAACTCAGAGAGACGGATCAAGGTAGCTATTGATGGAAACATCAGAATACCACGGCGAATGCTGCGGGCTCCAGGATGGGCCAAACGACTTTCCTAACTTAAAGGGAAGGGCAGAAGATTTCAGATCCCGAGTTAAGCTTGTTCACAGATACTGACGTAAAAAGGGAAAGAGGTGCGCATGAGTGGACGCTGTGCCTAATGCTACGGGAACTATATGAGTCGTATTGCCCGTAAATGTGCCTCTTGGCTGTGCAAGGCCCCCCTTATTCATTCCTATGAAAACTTTCTCACGATCTGGCTAGAAGTGGCGTGGAGTGCTTCTTCTAAATTAAAACACAATGGTCTGTGGCGTGCGATAATTCTTGCGGATTATTGACGTTCCTAATTACAACTGTGGTAACCTGTTGTCATACACTCTGTAGGCACAACCCCCCGTGAAGTTCTGCTTGCCAAGAGTGAGTAACTCAAAAGAGCTGCTGAGGCTACTAATATCACACCGCGTCGGCTCAACTCCGACGCGCTGCTTGGCAGTGCTGCATCATTCACTGCCGCTCGTCCAAGGGTCATTCACCGGAAGTAGTCTGGACTCTGGAAAATTCGCAACCACTTGGTCAGCAGCTTTCGACAAGCGAAGGCTCTAGTTGATGCACCTTCTAGACCGAATAACTTCTGGTTGCTGTCGAATGGGACTACTTCTGATTTTTTTGACGCCCGCATTCCGGTCTTGGGTTGTAACAGATGCGGATCTGACAATGGCAAGACGAAATTCCCTATCCACATGCATGACAATATCGGCGACACCAGTGATCGTTTGGTTCGGGACAACCGCGGCTCCTATCAGTCCCCCCCACTTGTTATGCTTTGTCGTCGGGAAGAGGTTGATTCAACGTGCAGTGACCAGGCGGACCGCTCTGAACTTACGCGGCCAGGACTCTTGGCGGCCCGCTGGGAATGGCGTTTGTGTGCGGCTTGGGGGCTCCGGATCCCGGAAGTCACCCGTAATAACTAGTCTATGATTGGCGGTCTTTCTTTTACTATGCGATGAACTGCCGAATGGGGAACTGATCAGAACATGGTTCTTCGGGATGTGGGAGAGATCTGCCTCGTGAACCCGACGTCAGTGGAGATCGTGAAGGATAGACTGCAGTTTGGTTCGCAGTTTCACGGATCTGAGGGTTATGAGAGGGGGCAATGGCCGACAAAAGAAACGTCTTGATGAGATGGAATTGTTTTCTGGGTCCTCTCCAGGGGTCAGACAGGACGAAGCAGGGAAGATGGCATTTTCTTCGACTCGGGCAAGTTGAGGAACGATTGAAAGAATGGATGAACCTATAAATATCGGATCGCCTCCCGCATCATTGATCAGTCCTGTCTATATCAGCAGCTTAGATCTCGGTAGCTTGACTTTGACAATAGGTCCCAGAAACTTTCTCGTTGAACAGTCTTCATAACACTATTTCTCGAATTGCACTCTATTTCAACCTCTAAAATGCAGCTCCAGCTCCTTGCTCTCGCCACTGCGCTCCTCTCGGGAGTGGTCATCGCCCACCCGGGCCATGACCACACTCTCAGCCACTCAGAGATTGCCCGTCGCTCCAACCTCGCCAAGCGTTGCGCTGTGCAGTCCGGACAGTTCCAGGAGGTTCGCAGGAAGCGTCAAGCCGAAAAGCGCTCGCTTGTCAGCCGTTCCTTCGTTCGGCGCGACAGCAATGTCACCATCCACACCGAGGGCCCTCACTACAGCACCCTCCAGAACGACACTTGCGTCCTGACACCCGAGGTTACCCAGGGACCTTACGTCTGGCCCCAATCCCAGACCCTGCGCCAGGACATGAGCGAAGACCAGCCCGGTGTTCCTCTTTATCTGGACATTGGTGTCCTCAACGTCAACACCTGCGAGGTAATGGAGGATGTTCTCGTTGACCTCTGGCACTGCAACGCTGTAAGTCAACTTGTCGTTATCGAAGAAACATAAAACGCCCCGCTAACACGATTTCGCACAGACCGGATCTTACAGCTCATTCACGCACCAAAGCCCCAACACCCCCTTCAAAGAGCTCCTCGACCAGCTCAACGTCACCATCGGCCCCGATCTGGATCTGCACACCGACGCCACCACCTGGCTCCGTGGTATCTGGCCCACTGACTCCAACGGCATCATGGAGATGAAGACTGTCTTCCCCGGCTTCTACGTAGAGCGCACCATCCACATTCACGCCCAGGTCCACACCGACTGGTCCATCCGCAGCAACGGCACCATCGTCGCCTCTAATATTGTCAGCACCGGCCAGCTATTCTTCGACGAACCCCTCAGCCAGCAGATCATGGCCCTCGAGCCCTATGTCAGCCACACCGAGATTAATCGCACCACTAACGATATTGATAGCATCTTTGCCGATGAGAGCAAGGGTAACTGGAACCCCAATATGGTTGTCGAGGCACTTGATGGCGAGGATGTTACCAAGGGAATGCTTGCCTACATCACCATTGGTGTTGAGGCGTAGGGGGCACGAAGTAGCCTGTAAACTTTCATTTTGGATCATGGATGTCCTGTAGAGGTCGGCGGCTAGGGGATGTGTAACACAGTTGATGCATATGCTTATAAAATGTCAATTAAATTGTGTCGCAAAAACGACGCATAAATTGCAGGCAGCAATTAACGTCATATACACCACTATGATAAATTGTAATTGGAAGCTATCTATCAGCCTGTTTGAACGCAGAAAGTCGCCAAAAAGAAGCTTGGAAACCCTCGCGAAGCTCGACTAGCATGACCTATCCAACTTTGCTAACGAGAAGGTAAGATTTTACTGCCCAAACTTAAATTGTTCCATAAGCCCTCATGCCATTCTTCTGATTCATTATATGCTTGCAAAGCAGCGTGGGATACTTGGTGCTCAATTCAACTGCCACGGTACGAGTTGCTGACATGCAAGAGCAGAGGCATGTCAATGCAGAAAGGTTGAACTCGTCAAAAGAAGCCCGGGTCATTAACTTCCTCAAATAAGAATCACAGTTGAAAATATTGCACATTGATATCGTTCGCATCATTAAACATATGTCGTTGGCTACCTGCCTCGGCCATTCCTACCCATAGGAAGCCGTTTCTTTGGCTCTACTTAATCCGTTATACTTCATCAAACTCATCATCGTACCGAGAATGTTGTCAGCCCTTTCAAAGGTTCTTGGGCTCCAAATGCTCCTCGGGAGCTTCAACGACGCGACGTCCGCCCTTGGAACGTCGGCCGGCATCCAGGGACTGAGCGAACTTGGATTTCTCTCGGATGACTGGTCCCTTCCAGTAGATAAGATACACTGGGATAGTGACCATGAATGCGAGGCAGGCAAGAACGGTGCTTGCGTACTCCGTGTGGCGTGAATTTCCAATGTTTTCGTAGAGTGGGGTTGAGTACATCGCTGCAATGCCGGCAAGAAAGTCTCGTGCGAAACCGTTACCACCAGTAGCAGACGCAGAATAGGGTCCATATGCAGCGATCATGTAGTCAACCGTGCTCATATAGATGGCGAAGTTGGCGATGGCGATTAGACACGAAAAGATCATGGGTGCAATCCAGTGTGACTCAGGGGGGCCCATGGATGTTCAAGCGAAGCCAAAGAGGCCAATGGTTTCGAGGGGAGCAAGATACAGCAACCACTTTAAGCGACGCTCAGGAGCCAGGGCGTCGGGACCCTTCGCCTTGATGATGCGATGGTCTCGAATGATCCAGGGCACATAAGAGATGTATGCTAGGATATAGCCAATGTTGATGGGGATGAAAGCCCAGGCTTTTTGCAGAGTTCCAAAACCCCACTTATTGAACACCGGAGTGAAGCCCTCTTGGAAGGTGAAGATCAAGGCATCGGAGAATCCCGAAAGAAGAGAGCATGAGAGAACGATGGGTTCCCTGAGGAACATTTCAAAGGGGCGTATCCAGGTGATGGCAAATTCATGCAACGAAAGTCGAGGCGTCTTGACCTCGTTGGGTCCGTAAATGTTGGTGTCTTCTCCGGATTTGCGTCTGCGCTTTGCTTCCTTATCCATGATGATGGTGGAGCGGCTCTCGGGCATGAAGATGTGAACAGCTTGGACGACAACGCCAAAGATCATTTGGATCCAAAAGTTCCAGTACCACGGAAGGAATTTCTGAATAGGGCCTCCGACAACGGGGCCGACTGACGTTCCGAAGACGGAAGACAGGACGACGAACAGAACGGCCCACTGCTGTTCTTCAGGCTGATAAAGGTCGGCTACCATGCCCAGGGTGACACTACCACCCGCTGAGCTGAGACCGCCCTACGTCAATTGTCAGTCTATATTTCCCGAAAAATTACAGACCATTGTACTACGTACCAGCGCTCGAGCGACGACGATACTGCCAAAATTGGGCGCCAATGCAGCAAGAATTTGCCACATGTTGACGAGGAACAAAGAGCATCTAGACCTGGCTTTAGTTCTGCGTCACTTTCAAGTGGCCTCGAGATACCCACTGCAAGATCTTCCACCGTCCAAACTCTTCACTCCAAGGAGCCCATAATTCACACCCAAAAGCGTAGAGAACGAGAAATGCGCACTGCGCAGTACGTGCAGCCTGCTCACTGACGTGAAAAGCCTCGCTGATAGGGGTGACAGCGCTGGGGAAGACACTGGTGTTGAAGTTCATCGATACTTGGACGGCGAAGATGGAAGACAGAAGCATCCACTTTTTCCAAGCCGGCCATGAGTAGCCCAGTAGGTGATAGCACTCATCCTCGGTAATGATGCGCTTTCCATCCGGGGTGTACTCGGGCTGCGTACTGCTCATCGCCCTCGCCAGATCCTTACGGCTGCGAGTGCCTTCGGCTTCCTCGTCTCGGCCCGGGCCGCCCTCGAAGAAGCCCCCGGTCGGGCCATCCTCGGACTTTTCTCCGAGAGGCTGCTGCTGTTTCTCGCCATCAAAGCTCCGTCCGACACGTGTTACGCTGCTATCTCGGGTCGGGATCGTCTCATCGATGTGGCTCGGTCGTGAAGCTCGCGGACCATCACCAGGAGGTGCCAAGGCCATGTTGGCAAGCTATCTTTGACGAATAGTGGTCTCGATGCAGGCGGAGCAGTTGGTACTTGACGTCAGAGGTAGGTCAGAAAAACGCAAAAATATCGGCTGAGTGTGCGTCTCGATCGTCGATCTGAGTGTGGTAGGTGTCAATGGAAGATTATGCGAGTTGTCAAAAGCCCATGACAAAAGTCGATAGTGAATAGCATCTAGAACATCTGCCCCAGACCTCCCTTCCCCGGGTCTTCGGCTTGTTTATCAACTTTCACTTTTTCCACAATGGAGGCGAAAGTTTCCTACGTAGACTGGAGATATGACGTTATCATGCCAAGGCGTTGCTGGCGGTGTTACTACTGCGTGGCCCACAGCGAAACAGAGTATCCAAGGGAAGATCCAGAAAACCCTCCCTTTTCTGAGTCGAGTTCCTTCCGCATTCTCACCTAATTCCGGTTTCCTATTCAGCGGAACCGAAAAAGTGGAAAGCCTTAACCAAATTTCTGCTCGTTCAGGAACGTCCGCATATCTACTGCAAATTGACATCATCTCCTCGTAGGAGCTTTCGGAATTGCGGGTCGGTGGAGGAACAATGACGGAAACCGTGGAGCCGGTGAAGCGCGGCCCCATGCAGTTCATCGGCGATACTCGCGGTGTTGATGTGGGTTCCGCTCATGTCGCCTCAACCGAACTTGGAAACTACACAATTGAGATGGTGGTCAGCTGCCCGAAGATAGGTCAATTCCCACACGATCTCAGGCTTATGGTTAATTCTCAAGCATACCCATTCAGCTGGAGACCATGCTGGGTAATATGTCTGGAGAGTGAGCTGGAAAAGATCTGAGTGTTGAAAGCCATGATTGAGAATGTAAAGCAGGCTGGTTCAAACGCGCTGTTTTAGCGGGTTGAAATCAACAGGACAATCTAAACCAATTATTCCGATTTCTGTCTCTTACAAGTTAAGACACAAGTAGCTTTGTACGAGAAAACTTCGAAGCATTATTCAGAAGAGCTGCCTGCACAATTTCGCTTCGAGATTTTTGTGAGCTAAAGCATTCGTCGACAATGAATCTTCCTGTCTATGGTACACATGGCCACATTGCGATCTTTCGGTATGCCTCCAGGAAAAATCATACTTGAAAAGCCTGGAAAAAAATAATGTGATGCTACCTTATGAAGCGAAAAAAATTATAGGAGAGGAATTGAGCTTGACACGTGTTGCTTTGAATTTTCCCACACGAAGTCCTTCCTACGGCATGAAGAAAGCGACACACCGCGAGCCCGGTCGGTCGAAGGTGGGACCGTGTCCGAAGGTGGGGCCGGGATAAAGTCGGACTCATCCGAATTGAGCCGGGCATCAACTGAGCATCATCATATTGAATTTCTCTGTGAATGCAAATCTGATCACAAACAAATCTCAATTTCGTTGCACTTTGGTAACATTGAAAGGCGAAACCCAGTTCGGAGGAGGGGGTCGAGGTGATTAGCACAGATTGCGCACCATGGACCGAATGTAGAGCCTGCAGTTGTGTCTGGCCAACACTGTTGTCAAAGTGCAAGACCGTAGAAGTTACCTTGCTGTCAATTAAGTTCAACGAAGAATGCTGCGTAGGGCCTGAAAGAGATATTCTGGATTTCAGGAATAGCAGACGGACCTCCCGTACCTCTTGTGTAGTAGAGCCGGTTCCTACATTGCGACGAAGGGATGGATTCTTTTTGAACTCAGCAAGTCTCTGGGGTCGGTCTCCTTCTGTGGCCGGGATGCTCCGATAGAGCCAAGCTAGCCAAGCAGCTCAAAAAGTCGACCGGGACTGGGTACTAGCGCCGCGTCGGCATATTATGGGCCCAGGAAGCTTCACAATACCATTCAATCTGGCACATCATTACATTCATCAAAGAATTGAGCTTGCATAATGTTGTCAACAATTTGCTTACACAGAGGTAGGAAGGGCTGTGAAAAGTGTCAGAAAACGCGGATCATTTTTGACATTGGAGGTCAAAAATTGGAGTCAAGCTTTGACGATGAGCACAGGTGGAAGACTGCGACCGCTACTGGTTGCGGAAATAGCATTAGCCTGTGATAATGATATGATGCGCTGCGGGTGCCTTGCGGCCTATGGCGAGGTGGCAGCCAGAATCACCAAGACGTGGCGGCTTAAACAAAGAACACAGAGTGATAGAGCCGTGAATCGCCCTCCAGGAAATGGAGGGGCAAGTTGAGCAAAAACGAGTAACTAGGATCGGAAATTGGATCCCGAAGCAAGACTGATTGAACAGCCGGGGATTTATGGCTTAGAATTGTCTATTTTACGGAGCATCTGGATAGGAAATCCTACTACGTAGAGCAAGACGAGAAGTGACGCAAGGGTCTGTATCCCTGTGAAAGTTTTGTGGGGCCCCGATGACGACGGCTCCTGGAGGTGGAAACTGCCGGTTCTATCTAAAACTTTCGCCAAAGCATCGAAATGTATAGTGTGATTCAACCCCTTGAATATACAGAAACAGCCGCAGTGCAGCGAATGGAACCCCATGTCAAGATCTCTAAAAGTTTTCGCTGCGTTGGGTTGAGACTTTTGGCACCATCTCGCGGTCAGCAGACCTGTAATGGCACATTCACGACTTGATGATGAACTAAATGTCAAAAATAGAGGTATATAAGGAAAGCAACAGGACTAGAAAGTTTGCCTCTCTGAAGATAGATCTTCTGTTAGAATCCTTAGATATAGAGAGCTAGGCGGGAAAATACAAGCATCGACTTATTTCGGGATAAGAGAGGTCACCGCGGCAAAAGATCCGAGATAGATTGGAAATCTGGAACGAAAAGAGAGTTTTGAATATTCTCAATCAATTTTTAAGGTTAGGAGAGCAATCTTTGTACTGCTGCGAACTGGAATGTTGCTGTTGTGCGAGTAATTGGGTTGCCACCGTGCAATTCTGGGTGCATTGGGCGCCATTCCGCATTCAAATTAACAATCACCAGTTCACCGACTCAAGGAGAACGTGCAATGAGCGGTCAGGCATGATTGTGATCGTCTAGATAGTGAAGCATTTTCGGAACAGTTCGAACACTCGACCGATCGATCAGAGCTGATATGATGTTGCTTGCGTCACCAGCAAACATCCGAATCCTTTCGGATCCAAAATCCTTCTCGGCTTAAGGATTCGTCAGCGGCAATGAGGTGATTGGACGCATGATAAGCGACACTACCAGCACAGAGTAAATTGTACGAGGCGTATAACAAGATGAGAAGAAATAAAAAAACCCCATCCTGCATTCCGCAAAAAAAGCCAAGATAGAGCCCGGGGGCAATTTTCATAAGATTCACTGGATTGTTCGGGCGGCCGGAGAGTTGCCGTTGCGGGTCAAATCCTGGTTACAACCTGGTCCCACTCGGCGTCCGGGTTCTATCCGAAGATGCTCGGAGCTTACGGCTGAGGCAGAACGCCGCGCCCCGTGTGGTTGTTTAATCGGCATCAGTTTTTGCTATATAAGCCGATATCTGAGTTTAGAATGAAAGCATCCAGAGATTCCAATCAGATTGCATCCACCCTATTACAATGGCTTCTGCAATACCTACAGTCATGACAACCCTTGCCCCCTACCACATCATTTCCTACGCGACGCTGCTCGGCACCTCGCTTTTCCAAACCTTTGTCAATACCAAGATTTGCCATCTCGAACTTCCCAAGTCTGCATTCACAACATTGCAGAAGCGTTTGTTTCCAATATACTTTCGATGCCAGGCATTTCTCCTAGTCTTGACCGCCCTCACATTTCCCCCTTCCGGTCCGGCGTCCCTATTCAAGGCAAAGAGCGACTGGATTCCTGTTATGGTTGCGGGAATAACGTCCTTGGCGAACCTGCTTATCTACGGACCGAAGACGAGACAGGCGATGATCGATCGGACTCATCAAGGTAATCCTGGCAGACTTTCTTTTCTAGTTTTTTGAAATCTTGTTTAGTACTAACACTGAGGAGAAACTCGTGATGCGAAACGTCCTGGGGATGTCGATGAGCCTAGCCCAGACATGGTTGCTGTCAGGAGACGATTCTCAATCAACCATGCGATGAGCATCCATCTAAACCTCATTGCCATTGCTGCCATGTTGTGGTACGGTTTCAGACTGGCGTCTCGGATTCACATTGAGGTTGACTCATGAACATGGACGTTGTGGATACTCTTGGATTTACGGATAGGACAACACTTCTTCCCTGTACTTCACCATTCGGGTACGCACGCATTTTCACTATGGCTAGACTCCTCCCGATAAACAAATCATTCCTTAACTCCCCTGGACCGATGTACAATGTAATGAAAGTTCCACTAGCTGGGGTAACCTAGATGTTCCTAGCGCCCTGAGATACATTGAGCAACATGAGTAATGCTAGCGAGACCTGAAAGCCCGCGGCGTTTTTGTGACTTTAGCTTCCCCACATTTCCGCACTAAAATCTAGTCACCTCGGCTTCTTACGTCTTCAAGCTCGCGCTGCTTGTGAAATAAACACTGACATTGAATGACCTCGCCGACTTACGATTTGAGAAGGCGATGCGTGCCACTTGACCGAACGGTTCATACGGGACGATGAGTGGGAGCTCATTGTCAACGAGCGCTGTCAAGCCTGGAGGTGACCGCGCTCGCGTGGCCTGCAAGGCGTGCAGATCCAGACGGGTCAAATGTGATGCAGCAGACGCACATCCCTGCTGGCAATGTCGGACGCGTGAAATCCCTTGCGAACTGGTAGAATCCAGGAGGGGCAAGTAAGTCTTTGCCGTCGAGGTTAGAATCACCTCTCCCGATGAAGCTCATAGCGCGTCAGATATGTCCGGAAAAAGCGCAACCTGCAGCGAGATCAACACCGGACTCAACCTTCACGAGCACATCCTGAAATTGATGGACATGCCTTGGCCGAGCAAGAGACAGAAGCCTCAACAGAAGTCTTCATCGAAGACGATGGCTTCACTAACAGCCCCGTCACTTCTGATGGGATCAGTACATGTAGCAACAACCAACCCCGTCCAAGCCGCACACAGACAAATCCAAGACAACATCACACAGGGGACAACTTCAGTTTGTCTTATATCGTTGAGGTGGTCCATAGGCCAAAAGATGGCTCAACGGAGCCAGTCAAAGTCCATTATCCTATCCCAGCTTGCATCGCGGACCAGTCGGCCTACAATCATGTGCCCAAGGTCATAGAGACAATCTCTCTACAAGAGGCTCTCACGATGCCGGCTCCGCACATTGCGGATCAGCTCATCCGCCCTTTCTTCGAGATCATGCACCCAGCGTACCCCGTATTTGACAGAGAGAATTTCTCACGACATCATCGCCAAGGCCAAGCGTCACCGTTGGTCTTGCAAACTATTTTCCTGCTAGGTTTCACGGTCTGTAGTGACAGTCTCATTGAAGAAGCTGGCTTCAGTGATCGAGCTACTGCGAGAAGAACACATTACCTCCGCGCCAAGGCGCTGTACGATGCGGAATATGAGAGTGACCACATGAATCTTGTGGCTGTATTGCTGCTTCTCGGGTTCTGGTGGGCCGGCCCCGAAGATCAGAAGGACAATTGTTACTGGGTCAACTGTTCCGCAACTATGGCTCAGTCCCTTGGCATGCATAGGTCGTGCGTTTCATCTGGCTTTCAGCCTCTCACGTTATTCGTACTGGATGCTCACGTTGTTTAGGATGTCAAATTCGGCCTTGAGCCCAAGAATGCGGTCTTTGAGGAAGAGGATTTGGTGGGCGATATACGTAAGTCAGTCAATATAATGGTGTTGTTTGACTGGATGTTGACCATCGAATTCTGCTAGACCCGCGATAGACACACCTCTGCGGCATTCGGTAGGCCGTGTCGAATCCGTGACGAGGATTGCGATATAGAGCCTCTGACGGAGGAGGACTTTGAGTTTGACAAAAATGGTGATGAGAGACTCATACCCGCTCAACACGAGTACCATGTATCATATGTCATCGAGATGGCAAGGCTGACTACAATATGTGAGTACATATTCTCTACTTGGCTTAGACTGCCTTCTTTCAACCCGGTCTGATACTGACTTACATCCTTAGTGGGTGATATCATCGTTTCCGAGTTCAGCCCACGTCGCGCCATGATAGAGAAGTATGAATCAAAGTCGCTGAAGAATGAGCTCCTACGTTGGAACTCGAGTCTGCCGGAGCATCTGCGTTCGGCGCCACTCGATGGGTCTCTCGGTGCCCCATTCTGGGCCAGCATGCTCCAATTTACCTATCAGTAAACAACCCGCCAATCAAACCTGACCTCATGCTCATCCATTGACGCTTCATAGATATTGCCACATCCTTTTGTTTCGACCGAAGGCTATCGATAACCTTACACCGGCGGAGGCAGGAAGAGACATGCAAGCTCGCATGGCCGCGGACGCAATCACTCGCAATGCAGAAGACCAACTCGCCGCCGAGACCATCCGATCTGCACAGATACATCTGTAAGAACTGACGGACCAAAGTTTCTACTTCAGAGTTCTAATCGCAACTAAGTAGTGTCCCGACTCTATTTGGCGCCTTATCAATTCACACCATTGTCATCTGTCGTAAAGACCCGATCCGTCGGCAACTCGCCGAGAACAAATCTCGGCAATGCCTACTGGCTTTGAGCCAACTGTCAAAGTCCTGGCCTGTCAGGTTGTGGATCTCAAAATCCTTTGTCAGTCTGATGAGGAGACTCACTGGCCAAGGGTCCATAGTCAACGTGACATCTAGTATCGTGAGTACTCTCGGCAACACTACGGCTGGTTGTGGTGAGCAAGTACTAACAGGAACCAAAGCATGATCCAAACTACCGAACTTTTGCCCCGCACGACGTGGGTGAAGAAGGCAACCCGACCATGTTTAATTCCTTTCGCGGCAGTGAACAAGGTGCAGAATCCGCAGGCATCAGTGCATCTCAACCCGAAGCACTATCGGGACATGAGAACTTTCATCAGGCAACTGATCAGATGTTTTACGACACGTTCTGGGCCGACTATCTAGACAACACCTTTGATGTTGATCTTCTTATACACTCTCACACGGGCTTTCCTAGCAATCCTACCGGACAATAGATAATGTACCTAGGGATAATCAGAAAAACAGGGGAGAATCTTAAAAGAAAAATGGTTTGGAACATAATCATTTGATTATCGAAACTCAACGCTATTCGTCCGCGTTTGCCTCATCGAGCAGCAATTTCTCCTGATACCCGAAGAACCGATTCAACTCCATGCCTGATTCCACATCGATCCCATCAGAGCCTCCATTATGTAATCTCCCAAACCGAGAGCCGAATAATGAGGCATCGCGGCCCGTTGTATGCTTATTCCTGGAGAACCTATCTACTCTCAAGCGACCGACGACCTGTGTTGGTCGGACATAGATGGCACTGGGTAGACCGTCTGATCTTTGCATCTGTCGACTTACAGGTACTCAAATGACTGTTAAGCTCTGGGTGATCAAAGCGACGGAACAGCATGCTTATCATGACTCTCATTTCCACCAAAGCAATTCTCTTCCGAAGCAACCTCTCGCACCGGTAGAAAACGGCAAAGACGGACCAAAAATGGCATTGAATGTGCCATCGGAGCGCGCCCATGTTTCCGGCACATACTGATCCAGCGGTGAAAAGTCGGCATTCCGGCGTTTGCCTTTTATCCTGTTAGCATACTCCTTACAGTATTCATGTAGATGATGTGAGAAGGTCCACCTGTGACAAGGAGAAGGATAATTCCGGCCGAGGCGTTGAACCCTAGGATCTGGCACTCGGTGACGGCTTCTCTAAAAGCCACAGGGCCAGTGTCAGAGAAACGGAGGACTTCAGCAATGAATGCGTCCAGATAGGGCACATCTGCTGAAGCGATGTCGGAAACTTTCGGGAGCCGGGGCTTCTCAGCCCCTTGAAAGGCATCAAGGAGGGTGCTTCTCAGGCGTGCTTTCACAGCCTGGTTGTTGGCCAAATGCTTCAACGCTCAGCCGACTCCTGCGCTCGTTGTCTCATGGCCAAAGACAAGGAATTGAAATAGTTCGTTTCTTGTCTCGTCTTGATTTGAGGGATTGCTGCAAAGCGTCGACTTTCTTTACAGGACTTCCTGTAAGTCACATCTCGGATAATTCACCTCTTGAGTTTGGATGCAACGGATTATAGCGTTGATCTCGGAGTCAAAAATGTCTACGACGGCAACTTAAGGTAGGGACGTCGAAAGAATGGGAGACGGCGTATAAGCCATTTCGAGAAACAGACGCTGGCGCCCGTCGTGACCCAGCTGGGGCATTGAAGCAGGATTTCCATTTGAGTGAACCAATAACGGACCCTCCCTGCACAATTCAAGACTTTTGCTCAGTAATCGAGCTTGAGGGTTGGCCCTTTGCATCTCTCTTTGGAGCATGCGAAGGTCTATGCCCAACGAAATTGCACCAATGGCGTCTACAGCGGTAGACTTGAGGTCACCTGTAGCTCTGAATGCTTGCTGGTTGTTCTCCTTGAACCTGAGCCTCCACAACTCGACAAGTCGCGATATTGACTCATGGAATCTGGGGGCCGCGACCTCGTGAAGGAACTGCGATGATGAAACAACGCCCCACAGCCGTCGCTGAGATTTCAGCTTGTCATTTATCTTTATAGTGGAAGTCGCGTTCGGCATGATGAAGCCAAATATGTCATGGACGAGGGACGCCCTGTCAATCTCACCCAGTTTCCTCATGGCAATTCCCTCAATCTCTGGTAGGTCGACCAGAATCACGATGGGGTCTCATGAGGGAAAATGTCAGGAGGAAAATCTGCACAATCGGTGACTTGAGAATGACCGATTCCCGAGAGAACCAGCTGAACGCCTCGCCGCTGAAGAGTCAGTAGGTGCTCAGGGGGGCGAGGTGCCCAGGAGGCATCCATGACCATCTTTGTTTGTAAGGGATGCCTGGGATTGGGGGCGGTATTGCCAAGTGGATGATGAAAAAGTCATTAGAAGGAGAGTGAGACACTGACGACCAACGCCAAGGTCGTCGTCCGGATGGCGATATCGGTGGCCGAGCCCCAGATTGCTCCACTGCCGGGCATTCTTGAAGGATGAAGATGCTGGCACCAAAGACTGCGAATGTTGGAAAAGGGGTGTACGACCACCTAAAATGGAAATACGAGCTTGGAAGAATGTCCAACTGACTTGCTGCAGACAATCACGACAGGACGGGTTATCTGTGGCGTCCTCGGCGAAGGCTCCGAATTGTGACTAGGCGCCAGAAATTCCATAGGGGGTCTTTTAGCGGTTGTGTGGTGAGGTAGCGATGCTGTCAACATCATAAGCGCTTGTCTTAGAGTGACCGCATGTAGGCTGAACGAGGATAGTCTCATTGGCTCGAGTTAGTTCAGCGATTGGCTGACACGGACTTTGCTGCTCAATGTAGCAAGCTGATGTCTAGTCGACGCGCCTGAGTTGTGCAGGGTGCGTCCTGCGCCGTAAGACGGGTCTGGAATCCCTGTCAGTACCTTTCACGAGATAGCCGTCCGCGTGCCGAACCAGACATGGGACGACAGCGGTAGTGCCCCCGCAATCTAGTTCCCGTCATCCGGATGATGTGAGACCGATTATCGGAAAGAAACCTAGCTTTTTTACTTTTTGACTTTGCACTTTCTGCCTTCCTGGTTTGCATCATCAAAGTCGCGAGGCACTCTCGAGGTTGGGAATGCTCAGAAAGAAACCAACACAACCTAGACCCTCTCACGAGGCGAACGAACAACTCCACTTGAGTTCATCTTCAGCGTCGATGGTTTAGTGGTAAAATTCTCCGTTGCCATCCAGCAGCGTCGGGGAGCCGGGGGTTCGATTCCCCCTCGACGCATTCCTTTTGCTTCTTAGCTCAAGGTCTTGACTCTGAATGATGCGTCAGTTTTTGTTAGGCACTCACTCACTTGCATATATGATCTATCCGCTGTTAAATCCCTATCATTTTCAGCCCCCCTAGGCTTCCAGTGACTTTCAAGTCTGTTTTAAAGTCTTGCTACAGAGTCCTCTGTCAAAAGATGTTTCTGAACCTTTCCGGATCCCGTGCGAGGAAAGCTACTGACAAAGACAGTCTCTCTCGGGATCTTGAATCGAGCAATCAGTGACTGGCAGTGGCTGACCAAATCTCCGTGACTCAGCTGAAAATTTGGCGCTGCAATAACATAAGCACGCCCGGCTTCGCCCCAGAGCTGATCGGGAACCCCCAGAACTGCAACGTCCAGCACACCGGGATGTTCAACCAGCGCAGCCTCAACTTCGGCAGGATACACATTCTCCCCTCCGGATATGAACATGTTCTTTCGCCTGTCAATGAGGGAAACATATCCATCCTCGTCGACTCGCCCAATATCACCCGTCCGAAACCAGCCATCTTCAGTGAACGCAGTCATGTCATCGTCTAGTCTGTTCCAGTAACCCGGAGTGACGCCCGGACCCGAGACCAAGATCTCACCAGGCTCACCGACGGCAACGTCCTGGTCACGTCCGTCCACAACTCGGACCGCCGTCAACGGGCCCGGAAGGCCCACAGAGCCGGCCTTGCTGCCAATGAGCTCTGGTGAAAGCGGCATGCCAGAGCAAGTGCCTACTTCGGTTGATCCATAACCGTCCACCATTCGAACACCGCGACTCAGCCACCACTTGATCCTAGCTGGAGGATTGGGTGCTCCACCGGTGAAGAGCGCCTTCAAGGCTGACCACGTCGATGGGTCAAAGTTTGGTGCTCCGGCTAGAGCCTCGGCCATCTGGGGCACACAAAAGTAATGAGTAATGTGTAATTCGGCATCGCCCAGCCGGGCGTTTGTTGCTTCGGAGTGGAACTTGGGGGAGACGATGAATGTGCCACCTCGCATCAGTGACGGCCATATCTGAGCGATGAGACCCATGAAGTGGAACATGGGCCCGTCACACAAGAAGACGCTGCCCGTATCGACTTCTGTCAAGATGCTAAAGTTGAAGGTCGTCGACAAGATAGTCTGGCCGGTCAGCATAACCCCCTTGGGCACCCCAGAGGTTCCAGACGTGTAGAGAATGATGCATGTCTCGTGCAGCGGTCTCGCATCCAAGCGAGGCCCAGGCTCCGCAGCGTCCACGCTCGCGCAGAGCGTCGAAAACTCAATGTGGCGACAGCCGAGAGGCAGCTCTGGTGGGTCGTTGTGATCTGTGAAGAGGATGGCTGGGGTGCAGTCGGCCAACAGCTTCGCTAGTTCGGGCCGGGCGAGGCGCCAGTTCAGCGGGACATGGATCGCGCCCAGCCTCATCAGGGCTTGCTGCAGAATGATCTGATGGACGCTGTTGGCCGATATGGTCGCCACTCTGTCACCGATCTGGACCCCTTGCTTGGATAGGACCGCGGTTGCGCGTTGGATGTCGGCGTTGAGTTCCGCATATGTCCACCTGCGGTTGGTCGCAAGGTCGATGCAGGCCAGACCGTTCGGCCGTAAGCGTGCATGGAGCTGCACTGGGTCCGGGGCGTAAAATTCCATCAGTCCCTGATATTGTGGAATAAAGCTTGAAAGTCTGGAAGAATTAGAGAATTAGAATGGGGTATGTCATGCGGTGTTGTGCTCTTGTTGACGAACCGTAGTTTCGGTGTAGAGGCCTTCAGCTGCGCTGTAACTTCGAGGAGGGAGTAGCCGCGGGTGATCATCGAATCACTTCGTCAACAGCCCTTGCCGCGAGTGATGACGTTTCTAGTGATTGGAGCGTAAAAGTCGATTTTCTGCTAGGAGATAGGAGAAGGCATCTTCTGAAGAAGAAAGTGTATCACATTGTCAGGCTTCACTGAGTGTCCTAGTCATTGATTTTATATGAATAATTCGCTGGAAAATAGAAGCGAAGACAACCAAGCGCCGGCGATACTCGGAGTTGTTTCCATTTTCTTTCTTTGTTCACAACCCTCTTGGCTGAGAGTGCTATTGTGCAGCAACCCATTTGTTCATATCGTGTAGCCCTTTCGGTATGCGGCCTTGGGGAGTCGGATCCGCCCTCGCCAACATGCAGGTCACAAAGGGGTGTGTGTGGGGGATGACAACCACCAAGACGCTGCGCCGTACAACTCTCGATCCTGTGCATCCTACCGATGTTGTTCTGCAGCTTGACAGGACCACTCATTCCTTCCATTTCAGAACAAATGTCATAGGGGTACATCCCGCAAGAAAATGGTGGGTTGGCGCATTTTTGACACTAACCACCAACAAGACTGCACTGTGCATATTGTGGACTCAGCAACCAACGAGGAAGCAGACTTCACAGCTCAGCTTGAGGGAATTTTGCGGAATCCAAGCACACTTCAACCCCGTCTGACCTAAGATATGGAAAGCCATCGGGTTGTGAGCTTAATGCGGTTGGATCGTCGTTCAACTTCATGTTCCTGCTGTGCCGTACCTCTGCCGACCAAATCACGTTCAAGACATCATTGAATACAGGGGCACAGCGGACCTCGCATGTTTCCCTTACGTACGGAGTCGATAAGATGACTCTAAAGGGCTAAGGAAAAGAGCCAATGTAATCAAGGTGCCATGACTTAGCCGCCAGCTGTTTGCATGCCTAGATTGACGCTATTGGAATGGCGAAGGCTGATTCATTCTTGGAATTCTTAGTCTTGGGGTAAGCAATGTCTCTTATTTCGGTAACGCTCTGGGAAACTCGTTTAGCTCTACATCACAGACTTGTCGTTAAAACCCGCATATAACCAAGCCACGAGCCTGTTTTGCCAGAAAGACGCACTAACTCTGGAGAGTGGACTGCTTTGATATACCCCAAAGAGTAGACATCAATGAGACACCATGAACAATAGCACTGAAGCCACAGTGAACGGCATCTGCAATGAGCACCATCACGAAGTATGCCCCTATGAGCCTATCGCCATCATAGGCATGGGCATGAGACTCCCAGGACGTGTCTACAACGCCACAGATTACTGGGACCTTCTCGTTAACGGGAGGAGTGGCCGTTGCCGAGTCCCAAAGAGCCGTTACAACGTCGATACGTGGTATGGTCCTGGGAAAGCCGCTCACGTGCCTAGCGAGTTTGGCTACTTCCTCGATGACTTGAATTTGGCACACGTGGATCCCAGCTTTTGGTCATTCACGAAACAGGAGGCTGAACTCATGGACCCCCGGCAACGGCTACTCCTCGAAGTCGCCTATGAAGCTTTCGAGAACTCGGGGTCGACGAGGTGGAGAGGAAGCGATGTTGGAGTCTACGTCGGGACTATGGGTGAAGACTGGAGCCAGCTTGAGTCCCGTGACAGTCAAAGCCTACAACAGGTCCGCCCTGATGTGTATGGAGACTACATCATTGCCAACCGGGCATCCTATGAGTTTGATCTTACGGGACCGAGGTAAGTTTTCAATCAAGAACTTCTTCTCCATGTCTTCTGACAAAAGTTACAGCGTAGTTGTACGGACTGCATGCTCTGCGTCTCTTGTTGCACTGCATCAGGCATGCCAAGACCTGCACAGCGGAGACTGTTCGTCTGCCCTCGTTGGGGGCGTCAACCTCATTCTCAACGCGAGAGACACTGGTGTCATGCAGCAAAACGGTGTACTTTCTCCTTCAGCATCCTGCAAAAGCTTTGATGCAGATGCCGATGGGTTCGCCCGCGGTGAAGGTGTCTCTGCCATTTACATCAAGAAGATATCAGATGCAGTACGCGATGGCGATCCTATCCGGGCAGTAATCCGATCTACCTGCACTGCCGGAAACGGCAGAACCCCAGGACTGACGACACCGAACCCTGAGGTCCATGAAAGGCTCATGAGAAGGGGACACAAGTTGGCTGGGATCACAGACCTGTCGAAGACTGCGATGGTTGAATGCCACGGCACTGGCACTTTTGTGAGTCTCAAAATGTTAGTTTCTGAGAATATAGGCAGTTCACTTACAGAATTTCTTCATGGCCAGGTCGGAGATCCGTTGGAAGTCAGCGCAGTGGCCAACATCTGGGGCAATCATGGTATTTACATCGGATCAGTACGTAGTCAGATTCAATCGAGCTTCGGTGCAAATTACTTACAGAGCCTCTCAGGTCAAGCCAAATATTGGACATGGCGAAGGGGCTTCCGGGTTGTCCAGCGTCATAAAAATGGTTTTGGCCCTGGAGAACTCTACCATCCCACCAAATATCAACTTCAAGACTCCTAATCCTCGAAGTAAGTATTTGCAACATTCAATCTAGCACTAGAGACGGTTACTAACCACCTCTCTGAATCAAGTTCCGTGGAAGAGTGCCAGGCTCAAAGTCCCTACTGAGCCCACACCTTGGCCAACTGACAGAGATGAGAAAGTTTCAATCAATAGCTTCGGGATCGGTGGCTCCAATGCTCATGTGCGTATACCAACCGAAAGTGCTAGCAAAATACGTTGCGCTGACAACTCGATTCCCCAAGGTTTTGCTAGAGTCTACCTCTTGCTTTGGCCTACCTCCACGCACCCTTGCAAACGGCTTAGAATCGAAACCCAGCGTTTCAAGACATCGACTATTGCCACTCTCTGCCAAACATCTCGAGTCAGTAAACGCTTTGAGCCGGAAGATTGAAGGTTACGTAGGTTGTAAACCTGAAAGCTTGGGAAATGTCGCATATTCCTTGGCTGCGCATCGAGAGACTCACCCATATCGCGCTTTCTGCGTGACCGATGGCAGTAGCCCCTTTCAGATGTCTTCTACTGTGAAATCAAGGACAGTATCGCCAGACATGATCTGGGTCTTCACTGGTCAAGGAGCCCAGTGGGCTCAAATGGGCAAAGAACTTCTAGAGCAAGAGGGTCTGTTCCGAGACAGGATAGATGCCATGGACAAAGTTGTGGCAGGTCTTCCTGATCCTCCACCGTGGACGCTACGAGGTTTGTCTTACGCATGGAACTTGCTGACAATACGCTGACCGTCTCTCCTCAGAGCTACTTTCCGCTCCGAAAGAAAAGAGCCGTCTCCACGAAGCAGAGTTTTCACAGCCGTGCTTGGTCGCGATTCAAGTTGCGCTCGTTGACATGCTTCGCTCATGGGGCGTCGCACCAACTGCGGTAGTGGGGCATTCTTCGGGCGAGACCGCTGCTGCGTATGCGACTGGAGCGATCACAGCTGACGAGGCTATCCTGATCGCCTATCACCGTGGTCAGATCACTCGTCTCATCAAAGCTGCACACAACGGCAGTATGGCAGCAGTCGGTCTCGGTAGAGAGCAAATTGAGCGATTTCTTCGTCCGGGCGTCATCATCGGATGTGACAACTCTCCATCCAATGTCACTCTGTCAGGTGAAAGCGATGTCCTAAACACGATTCTTCAGGATGTTTGCTCCAAAAACCCGGATGTGCTCGCTCGAAGGCTCCGCGTTGAGTGCGGATATCACTCTCGTGAGTTCACAAAAGCATAGTCCCATTTTTGCATCGTCTATCTAACTGCTTCATCAGATCACATGAAGACTGCCGCCGCCGACTTCACATCCCGTTTGGAGGGACTCCTTCAAAACAAGGAGCCCCTAATTCCATTTTACTCCTCTGTAACAGGGGAGAAGAACACAGATATGTGTCATACTTATTGGGTTCGTAACGTCATCTCGCCCGTTCTGTTCAACAAAGCGGTACAAAGCGTCCTGGATGATTTCAAATCTCCAGTTTTCGTCGAAATTGGCCCGCATTCAGCCCTTGCCGGACCTATCCGTCAAATCTCCCACTTCAAAAACATGCCGGTCCAGTACATATCGACGCTGGTGCGGAACCAGGATGCACTTGCAGCTGTTCTCAAGACTGCGGGAGAACTCTGGCTGGCCAACGCTCAGATTGATGTTGCTGCAGTCAATCCGCCGGGTCGGTTCCTGACGGACCTTCCGACATATCCTTGGCATTACGATAAGGAGTACTGGAAAGAGAGCAGGCTTTCTCGCAGTTGGCGATTCAGAAAATTCGATCAGCATGAACTTCTCGGTTCTCGTGTCGAAGAGACCTCCGATGCCTGCCCCGCTTGGAGGTGTATTCTCCGCGTCGAAGATGTCCCATGGCTACAAGACCACATTATCCGGGACAGTATGATATTTCCTGCCTCTGGTTTTATTGCCATGGTTGGAGAAGCCCTAAGGCAGCTCAACGGCTCTGTGGACTTTACAATGGAAGATGTATCTTTGAAGTCGGCATTGGTTCTTGATGACAAGCCGTTAGAGATTGTGACGGTGCTCAACCCGGCGAGGTCAAATAGCACAAGTGCGAATGTCTCATACGACTTCTCGATTTCTTCACTCACAGAAGGGAGTGAAGTCTGGGTCAAACATATTTGCGGTCAGTGCAAAATTGGCTCCGATCAGAAGCATTGCGTCCCCGAGATGGCCGTTCTACCACGTAAAGCTTCAGCAACTTCATTCTACGGCACTTGGAAGAGACACGGCCTGAAATACGGCCCCAGCTTTTGTGGTATTTCCAACATCAGTTCCCACGTCACCGAAGCCAAGGCCATTGCAACTCTGGATGGCAAGTTCACGACTTACACCAACTCGATCTATTCTCTGCATCCAGTAACTCTTGACACAAGCATGCATGTGGCAATGATATCTGCATGCCGCGGTCTGGAGAGAAACTTCAAGGAACTGGTAGTGCCTACATACATCCAAAAGGTGTACGTCGCTCGATCAACGGGACAGATTCAAGTCATGGCTAGTGCCGACAACAGGACCGACGTAACTGCTACCAGCAGTATCGTCGGAGTGTCCGACGCGCGAGTTGTGATCGAGATTTCTGGCCTGCAGGTCAGCCCCCTCGATGGAGTGATTGGCAATGAAGAAGACGATCCTCATGCCGGTGCCATTTTGAAATGGATGCCAGACATCAACTTCATCAAGCCGACTCAGCTATTCCGCCGTCGCGACATGGGTCCGAGTTTCAACGTTTTGAACGAGCTGGTCTTGGCCTGCATCGTTGATCTGAGAACTCAGCTTCAGTTTCTCCCTGCGACCCAACCGCACTTCGTGGGCTACAAGAGTTGGCTTGATGCTTCGTATCGAGAGGCTATGACGGGGCAGTACACAGAAGTCATCAACGCTTTCGACATCGCAACGATGAGTCACAAGACAAGGCTCGAAGCAATCGGAAAACTGACCGAGTCTTGCAAGCGTACTGCCGCTATGGACGCCTCTGTGTCAATCTTCCGCGTCCATACCTACGGCGCAGATTACTTTTCTGGGTTGCCACACGCGATCAAACCACTGACACAGCCCAGCCATTCTGCTGGGTCTGCTAGTCTCATATCTGATGTGGACTTCTCCGATTTCATTCGACTTCTAGGGCACAAGACCCCAGGCATGAGAGTCCTGCACATAGGCGCCAGGGAAAGCGACGACTCCTTATCGAAACTTTTGTCTTCTGATAAGAATAATCGCTCATATGGAAGTTACGTGTACACCGGTGTTTCTCCAAAGCCGTCAAAGTCTTTAGAGAAGCGATTCGTATCAGCCCCCGCTGTTACTTACAAGCAATTGTTGATTGAAACAGATCCAGCTTCACAAGGCTTCTTTGCAGAATCTTTCGATCTTATCATCTCCGAACCCACACTCTCCTCTTTCTCAAACGCTTCCATAGCAAACATGCGAAGACTACTGAGTCCGCGAGGTTATTTGGTTCTCCAACATGCAAACCCCGAGTCCAGAGTCCTCCGGTTCACATATGGGCTGTCTACTGACTTCAAGTTCGGTTCTGGGTCCCTGAGTAACCCAGATTTTCTGCTCGATCAGCTCAGTAACGCTGGTTTCGACAATGCCTCAACCTTTGCCTTCACAGGAGAGCATGGTAGGGTCACTGTCGCCACACCACTTTTCGACTTCCCAAAGATGACCAAGGCCAGTATCGTCTGCCAAGACCCAAGTCATTATCTGGTGGCTGAGGCAGCAAGATTGTTAGAATCCCACGGCATTTGCTTGCAATTCTTCTCTCTTGGTCAAGAGCTACCTTGTGGACAGGCTGTTGTGTGTCTTCTGGATCTTGAGTCTCCTTTCCTCCACGACATGAAAGAGATACAGTGGGAGAACCTTAAGAAGTCGTTGTCTTCGGCGCAAGATGAGAAGTTCCTTTGGGTCACCGGAGCCTCTCAGATAGACTGCAAAGACCCAAGGTACTCACTGACACTAGGTGTCACCCGCAGCATTCGGAGAGAGTTGTCGATTGACTTGGTCACCCTTGAATTGGTATCTTACGACGCCAGCGGGTGGAACGCCATGATCACTATTTTTGAGTCCCTCGGCGATCGCATAAGTGGTGACACTACCAAGCCGGATTCTGAGTACGTTTTCTCGGGGGGGTCTATCCAAGTCAGTCGATTTCTCTCTGTGAAAGTCTCCGACGACCTGCGAGAGCCATACGAGAGCGCACCTAAGAGTTTGAAGATGAAGAAACCCGGAGTGCTACAGTCATTGACATGGGAAGAATTGGAGCCAACCCGATTGAGCAATGATGACGTACAAGTATCAGTGAAAGCTGTCGGCCTCAACGCAGAGGTATGTCGACTAATAGATTTACTCTCGTGGAATACTAATCATCAGTTGTAGGATTTGAAAGTCTCATCAGGTCACTCAACAAGCAAAAACAGCGGCTCCAGTGATTTCGGACTCGAAGGAAGCGGTGTTGTGACAGGTGTTGGGCCAAAGGCTTGTCGTCTTCGAGTGGGCGACCGTGTCGCGTTCAACTTCAGTGGCTCCTTGGTTACTTCAATCGTGTTACCTGAAACTCTTTGTGCAGATATCCCACGCGCAATGACCTTTGAAGAGGCTACTGCGTTTCCCTACTCATACAGCACCGTTCTGTACGGGCTTATGGAACTTGGCAGGCTCAGGAAGAACCAGGTAGGCCAGCCTCGTCATGCTAGCTCATTTACTCAAGCGCTTGCTGACTTGTCAGACTCTTTTAATCCATTCGACATCTGATGCTCTTGGACTGGCTGTTGTTCAAGTCGCAAGAATGGTTGGCGCAGATGTAAGCGCCATCCTTCTACTCTGAATTGCGCAAACTCGAAATCTTGTTCGTCCCAAAACTGACTGAACTTTACTGTAGATCTTTTGCACAGCCGAGACCGCGACACAAGCGAGATACCTCCAGAAATCGTATTCCATTCCAAGCAACCGTATCCTCGGCTTCAAAGCGGCCTCTTTTGTGTCTGAAGTCTTGCAACAGACGGGTGGCCGGGGTGTAGACATCGTTTTCAGCGCGCACTCTGAAACAATCCAAGAGACTTGGAAGTGTCTTACGCCGTTCGGAACAATGATACAAGTCCGACAAGATAGTAGCCAGACACCGGAGACCTTGAAGATGAATCAATGTAGCAACAACCGAACTTTCGTCAACATTGACCTCAAAGAGCTGAGAGTTCATCGGCCAGAGGAATGTACTCGGTAAATTCTTGTCCGGTAGCTGTGGAAGCTCTTCGCTTGGACTTACTAACGTAAGACTTTGCAGTCTTCTGGAGCAGGCATTCTTATTCCACAAGTTTGGACTCAACAAACCCTCTCAGCCCATCAGAGCCTTTCCAGCTTCTGACATACTCTCGGCATTCAAGCATTTGCGAAATGAAGAACAGATTGGTCAAATCGTCGTTACTATGCCTGACAGCAGTAAAGACCTTAGAGCGCGTCCCTTGCGACAAAGCATAGTTCTCCGTTCGGACAGAACCTATGTCATTGTCGGTGGTTTGGGAGGCTTGGGTCAAGCCACGGCAAGATTTCTCGTCGAAAAGGGGGCTCGTCATTTGATTTTCTTCTCAAGATCTGCTGCAGCCTTTTCCAACAGTCAGCCAGCATATGTCAGTGAGCTTCAATTCCTTGGGTGCGCCGTCCAAGCCATTCCTGGGAGCGTCAGCAACATGGCCGATGTGGTGAGGATGGTCGGCTCAGCAACTACTCCGATCGCCGGTGTCTTACACGCTGCGATGGTCCTTCAGGTATGCCGCATTTCCGATCTTTCCCCGGTGGCTGAATGAATACTCATTGGGTTCCAGGACGTTCATTTCGCCGACATGACTTTTGAGCAATGGCAGATGACGGTCGCTCCAAAGGTAGAAGGAACCTGGAACCTCCATCATGCCCTCCAAGGACAGAGAGAGCCTCTCGACTTCTTTTTCTTGTTTAGTTCTCTTTCCGGGCTGGGAGGGCAGATTGGCCAGGCAAACTACGCTGCCGGAAACGCATTCCTCGACGCCTTCGTTCAATACAGACACTCTCAGGGACTCGCATGTTCCGTGTTGGATATAGGCATCATGGAAGATATTGGCGTTCTTGCGAGGGAGGCCAATCGCCTAGAAGCTCTTCGTTCAACCTCTCAACATTGTCTTCACGAGCAGGATCTCCTCGATGCCATGGAGTTGATGATGAGAAGATCCCACGCAAAGAACAGGATACACCCAGAGGGTCTAGGTTCTTCGCCAGAAGAATTCTTCAATCCTAGTCAGCTTGCCATCGGAATGCGGTCTTCGTCTTCGGTAAACAGAACCGGCTGGCATCAGGACCCACGCGCCGGATTTCTAGCAAATATTGCATCCTCGGATAGACCGGTCGATCAGCATAGGTCAGACAGCACTCTAAAGGATTTCCTTCAGAGCTGCACAGTGGATCCTACAAAGTTAGAATCTGACGAGGTGAAATATTTCCTGGCCGAGGAGATTGGTGCCGCGTTACGGGGTTTTATGATGCGACAGGACGAAGAAGTTGACCTGACAAGGCCACTGCAAACAGACTCTTTAGTCACGGTTGAACTTCGAAATTGGCTGCGACGGAAAGTTGGTGTGATTTTCAATGTCCTCGAGATGAAGAATGCAGAGAGTATTGTCGCATTAGGTGGGTTGGCGGCGATGAGGCTTTCGGCCGTGTACAGAAATCGTGTTCAAGACCTTAGTACTTGACTAGGTGTATTCAGTCTTCGGTTTAATGCTTCAGACTATGCTAGTTTTATTCCAGATCTGAATGTCGATGAGAGCACATCGTCCTTGTTCAGACTCCGTTTTCAACAGATGCTATAAATATCTCCGCTATATCTTGGTGGAAGAGTTCACCGGCGAACCATCACCTAGTCTTGAACTGGGATACGGAAACCACATGCATATTGTCATGCTGTATTTCGATGATGAAATAAGTACCCCGCCAATTATTCGATGATACTTCTACCAGCGTTTTGTGATGCAAGAGAGAAGAATGCGACCGAACCTTCCCGGGTCGGGGCAGTGGCTCCGGCTGCTCAAAGTCCAGTTGGCTGGGGTCTCGCGGTATGTAACATTGAGGAGACGGAAAAGTATATAGAGGGGCTGTTTGAGAAGAACGTACTTGTATAAATAGACTTCTCATGCAAATCCACTGTTTACCGGAAGATCAAGTGTGGCCTCATCGAAGCCAAAGTGGTCAAGCTCGCGGAACCTTCCTTGGCTGATTAGACTAATCTCTATTCCAAGAGTTTCCATGTAACTCTAAATTTTGTCATGAAGCGCGAATTTACTCTTCCCTCTAAGATTCTTGCCATATTTAAAGAACAACCAAGGGAAGGGCATCATTGCAACTGTAAGAAATGCAAGAAGACTTGTTGCCCACTGATGACCGAGCTTATCGTACATCTGCACGCCGAATAGTGGGAACGCAGCTAGAGTGATGGTACAGTGTCAGAGATCTGGAAGGCTCACGAGGGCTATAAGGGAGCGGACAAACCGGAAAACAGGCACCTCGTCAGGCCGTTCGACGCCAACGCCGATGCAGAATACTTTGCATATGCATCTATCTAAAAGAATTGTCAGTACATGTGACTCATGAGATGGAGCACCATCACGCCATCGTACAAGAAAAGTATAAATGCCAGTGAAGGCTAGAACTGTCCTGTACGTTTAGACAAATTAGCTTGCAGTCTGCAGAAGACGTATCCTGTCTTCATGACAAAAACGACTGAGAAGAAGAAGCCTATCTCGGAGGAACATTCCTCGACTTTCTCTCTGCGTTTCCATAAGGGCAGTTGGACTTACCCGCATCCGAACACTCCGGAGCCGATTACGGGAACGATCCAATGAATATCTGGACTTATAGTCCAGCCGAACCAGAACAAGCCAATTGGTATCAAAATCCCACCCAGCATGGCCGAGGGTAGTCGAAACTCGGGCTCACTGGTACCATGCTTCTCCACAAGTCGCGTGCGGATGTTGGACCAAATGGGTGATGTTGCTGCAGCCAAACACATGCCGACGATAATGCCAAGGAAGGTGAGACCGCCTTGCCATAGGTTCATTCCGTACTGCGCTCGGAATAGACGCGGAAATGCTAGGAAGAACAAGTATAAAATGGCTAGCAGAATGGCTGAGTAGACGTTGAGGCAGAGGCACATTGGCTCTAGGAAGTTGAATTGCAAGGGCCGCAGCATTGAGGTTGCTATAATGGAAGCCTTCGATGCCTGGACAGCTGCGTCCTTCTTTTTCTCCATTGGTGCGTGATACCGATCGTCTCCAGTCTGCTGGCGAATTTGCTTTGCCTTCATGTGCAACATGATAGGGTGGAAAGTCTCGGGCGTGAAGAAGACAATGATGACCATCAATAAAGAAGACCAGATGATCATGATGTAATATGTCCATCGCCAGTTGACGTTGTAGTTGATAAATCCGCCAATCAGGGGGCCCACGCAAGGTCCCATGAAAGGCACCAGAGACACAAGAGACATGGGCGTTTGGATTTCATGCAGTTGGAAGATGTCGCCCACAGTTCCTCCCGACACTGACAGAAACGTTCCACCAAAGGCACCACTGAAGAACCGGGTGACAAGAAGGGTCTGAATGTTCTTCGCGACTGCAGATGGGATCGTTGAAAGGATGAACAGAGACCATGTACCGAGGTAGATGGGGCGTCGCCCGTAGTACTCGCTAAGGGGGCTGATCATGGGTGGTCCGAAAGCAATGCCCAAGAGAAATGTCGATAGTCCGAGGGTGGATATTAGAGACGACGTGCCAAACTCGGCATTCATCTGAGTGTACGTGGATGTGTATGCTGAGCTAGTGCAAGTACTATGTGATCCCAAAGTCAGCAAGGTAGCTGCATTTTGCAAAGATGATTTACTCCGCGGGGTTCCTTCTTACACGCAAATCGTCACATTGCATAAGATTGTGACTATGATCCATTTGCGAAGCAAGGGCATACTATGGGGACAAAAGGGGTCGTCGATCCCATCGAAAGAGACCTCGAAAGGATCTCGATCAACTGGCGCCCATGCCGAAGGCTCAGGAATCTTCTCGCCGTCTTCACCCGACTGAGAATCATAGTTGTCGCTATCCATTTCAGCGAGCTTCGGATATCTCGTGGTCATCAAAAGTGAGGAGAGATCTTAGGTGCGAGCAGTGATAATGCGGTTGGTGAACTGCTCTAATACTAGCGGAAATTGGGAGGCCATGGTTTGCGACATGGAGCAGGCTTCCTTTTGAAGAAGGACAGTCAATGGAGAAACACACAGCGTTTGACCCTAATGACTCTGGGGCAGATCACAATTAATAATAGTGAAAGTTTGTGAAGCAGCTAGGTCTTTTGTCGAGAAGTCGACGACTTCGGCATTTCAAGCAATGGGTAGGAGAGCCAATGGGAGTATACGAATTGGCCCCATATTTCAAGACACCGAGGTGTCTTGGGCGGTCAGAACAAGAGACCGGACCGAGGCCGGGCTCTTGACCCGGGAATAACGTCTTCCTCATGTTATCGACGTGTCGTGCAACCCCCCAAGCTAACTCAAAATGCATCATAACATTTGTGTGTCTGACTCATCTGTACCAACCAGCATGGATGTCCTTGAACGCGGTGGCATTCGGCGGAGGCATTGAGACTAGAGTACATGTACTTATAGCTCTTCCAATGGTAATGGCTTGCTCATTGACTGCTCACCAAATGTTGTACTGCATTCTCGTTTAGCGTTCATCCTCGCTTGTAGATACTTCATAATCAAACTCACGGATCGTAGTAAACCAGCGTGTCCTGGGCACCCTCGGAAGCAATGTCGTAAAAGTCTTTGCAGTCCGAGAAGAAGATCTTGGGCTGTCCAGCATAGAAAACGTCGAACTTCGCATCAAGTGCATCTCGGAGGTTCTCAACGCCACCTTCTGGGTGGATATGCTTCCAGGGAAGTCTGCAAGTTTCGGCTTTGCAACTCTTGAGGACCAACAAAAGAGCATCGAGACGGTCTTGGACCACGGACAGGGGACGATTCAGGAGCTGACCTGAGGCGCTTCTGGCGAGGTTGGACATCTGACCTGGGTCTTTCTATGGCGGAAGTCAGTGATGGCTCGCTAACTTCAAAAGTTTTCATGTCGCGCTTACCTTCATATCGTAGAACTCGCGTTCGTTGCTGCACCAAACAGAGTAGAACAAGCTATATCCATCGCCGAGAATACGCATTGCCTTGTAGGTGTTGTTCGCAGAGACTATTCAGGAAAGCAATAAGTGTCCGAATCACTCAGAAACGATGAAGTGAGAGCATAAGCCACTTACCATCCCCGAACGCATCATACCCGCGTTGAGTTCCCCAAAACTCAACATTGACGTGGTCATGCTTCGGGTCATTCTGGGCTTTTTCAATTCCACCCTCTGAAAAGGGAATGGGAGAACCATCAAAGTCGTCACGCAGGGTGATGTTAGCAAGCGAGAAAATGGTGGGAGCAATATCGGTGTGGGTCGTGACGAAGTCCACCGTCTTGCCCTTTGGCACACCAGGGCCGCGAATCAGGAAGGGCACATTGATGTCTTCTTCGATGGCGCAAGTCTTCCCTGGCTTGAGGCGATGCTGTCCGATGTGGAAACCATTGTCGGACGTGAAAATTACGTAGGTGTTGTCGAGGACACCGGCCTGGTCGAGACGTTTGAAAACAGCATCAACCATTTCGTCAACAGACTGCAGTGTTTGAAGGCGGCGGCGGTAGTAGTTGTCACCATATGCTATCTCGGCAGTGTTCAGCTGGGGGATGATGAGGCCCCAGTTGGCCATGCTCGGCTGAGATTAGAATCAGTGACTGATAATATGAGCCGGATTTGTGCAAGGATTTACCTTATCAGGGTTGAAATTATAGGTACGAGGAACCGTAACGTTTGAAAAGAGGTTTTCGTGCCTTTTCGCAGGGATCGGCGGTGTCGCACCGGGACTGGTCTCGCCACCAAGTCCGTTGTTGTGAGGACCAATAGGTGCAATGCCCAGGAAGAAAGGCTTGCTGCCATTGAATTTGAGAGCATCGTCCAAGAAGCCCAGAGCTCGGTCGGCAACCAGATCGTTGCTGTACTCGCCAGGGAACGTCTGGGGCGGGCTCTGATTTCTCTGAAACGTCGCATTCAAGTAAAGATACGTGTTGGGGTCCAGAAGAACTACATCAGAGTTAGCACTGGAAGGCTGGAATGGTGGCCTTGGTTATTGGCTTACAGTCACTGCCAGTCCAGCCCTTGGGGAATGGATTGTTCCAATTCTCGGTGGAGTGAGAGTTGAAGAGCTTCCCGGTGTAGTACGTGTTGTACCCAGCATCCTGAAGCCAGACGGGGAGGTACTTGTCGTTGTACCCTTGGGATACGAACTTTGGGTAGCCGCCTTTGTGTGTGGTCAGAGAGTTTCGAGTTTCGTGGCAGTAAATATCGTCGGCTTACCGTGAGGGGGAGTAACATATGTGACATTGGTGTTATGCGCCGCCTGGCCCGTCAACAAGCTGACTCGAGACGGACAGCAGATTGCAATCGTACAAAAATGCTTGCGGTAGTACGTTCCCTCCTTTACAAAATGCTTCTGGACATACGGCATGTAGTCAAGAGAACCAAGTTGTTCGTCCTGGTCATCAGTCAAGATGAAGACGATGTTCGGCTGACGCTGCTGCACATTTTGGGCGACGACGGCAGAAGCCCCGAGTGCCAGAGTCGCCAATGCTGACAAGCTAGGAACCGGCACCATGGTATCTTGAAGTCAACACTGACGGGACTCTTGTAAGTTCAAACAGAGCTACTACAGATAGGCAGGTGTAGCGCAAGCCGACCTGGGGTAGATCAAGGAGTGTGCCGACAGATACCACAAAGTAACTTTTATATGCCGTGCGTCAACCAACTGTGACGCAGCAATCCGTTGTCCGCTCCAGCACTTCAATTTCCCCTTTCCCCAATGGCTAAGAACAAAATCACCTAGTCCATGGGGTCCCGGTAGTTCGGTGGTACCGTTAGTGGGTCGTCGGATGGCGCCTGCCCATCGGTCGACCAACCGGGTGGGCTCCAGGTTATCGAAATGGATTTTTAACAATGTCAAATGGCATTCGCAATCGGGTCTGTCGATTTCGCCATTTCAGTCCGCTAGCCTAATTGAACCACGACCACGACCTGGTCTCTGAGATCCTGACTATTCTTTCGGGGCTGGTTCCAGTTCGAGGCTCGATGCAGTATACCGGGGCCACGCCCTAAGTCGAAGACGACCCAGCATAGAATGGCATGGCGCGTCGGGCCTGACTTGGTGGACCGTATAGTGACTCTAATCAGGCTGTTCACTTTACTGTTTCTTGTCCCACCAGTATCAGTCAAGAGCGACTCGGGACATTGACCAACTCGTTGAAGACACGCGATGAATAGACAGAAACAACAGTCGAAAGGCAGTTATAAGGTTGGAAGGCTACATATAAATCCCTGACCCGGTGCATGCGCTGTTCAAACCTTAGAATTTGGGTCGTTTGAAATATGAGAAACCACAATCTTGCGCTTAACAAAATACCCAGCATGTTCAGTTCGATGAGAACTGTGGTATAATCGATTGTATTACTAAAGAGTGAAACCGAGTCACTTTAATTTGTCTAGGCCTTTGGCATAATCTTACCCACAGTGCGCAACTTTTTTGGCTTCGTTAGAAACTCGTGTGACACGCAGCTGCTGGCGAGGAAGTCTGGAACTCAACTCCGAGGCTGGGTTGCTTTTACTTCGTTCGAGTCTTTCAGCTGCGGAATATTATCACAAGTACCCGCTCAGTTGCAGTATCCTTGGCATCTTGGGAAATTTGCAGCCCGAGTTGCAGAGAGAGTAAATTAAGTTACGAAAATGTTATTGAGCGGAGAGCAACTCTCTGTTTTGCCGTTTTGGGTTCTGTGATGGTACTTGGGACCTGACCTATGAACCATCGTAGCGAGGAGAACAAATGCATTGCTTCCGCTATCTAGGTATTACACGATCATTTGCTTTTTTTCTTGAACACGGCTAGTGCGACTAAGCGTAGGAGCAACGTTTTTGCGACAACGCTATGCAAGACACTGCTTCATCTTTAGCAATAACGATTACCTGGCTCGGACTGACGACAAAGAAGTGAAAACTCTTATCCATCTCTATGCTCTGGTAAACTGTCGACGTCGTGTTCGATGGCGGTCTCAAGCGTGGCCAAAGACATCTCAGACTTCTCACAGGACTAGAAAGACGTCAACCTCAGATTTGTGGATCAAAATGATATTGATAAACACAAATTTTGCTTCCGCCGTCAACTTGTCCAATCAACGGGTCAGGCCGGCTGGCGCAATGGTAGCGCATCAGACTTCTACTACTTCTGCACATTAGTCCGGAAGAATAGATATCTGGGGGTTGTGGGTTCGAGCCCCACGTTGGTCAATCTTTTGCACTTTGTGGGCCCGCGGCCCATGTGCCCTCCTTCCCCCCCTTCTAACCATTTCAGTCCGCATTTTCGTTTGTGTTGTGGCATTTTACAATGGAAATAGCCAGTTGAATAGCTGAAATTATGTTTTATTTCTCAAGCATACGTACGGAGGGTTATTCGCAGTGACAGCGACAGAATGGGGAAGAGCCTGTCTACTAAGCACTGTGATAGGTGTAAATAACTAAGCTCGATCGCGAATTGAGGGAGCGATTGTCATGTTTTGTAGAATCATGGGTAGCGCTTCAATAACGCTGCCCTTCAGCGACTGCTTTCTTCAACCTGTTGGAATTTACCTACGTCATGCCGCAGTGCAGCCACCAGATAGGTACCTTACCTAGGTAAGGTAGCAACCAGCAACCAACCAACAGCCGGGTCCTGCGCTGGGAGCTACTCACCGAGTCGTCACCGAGAAGGATCCACTTAAATCTCCATGGTCGCATAATCGTCAACCGTCCGCGTCAAGCTCCAGTTCAGCTTCTTCTCTCACGGCAAGCTCCTGAGCCCCAATCACAAAATGGTACGCCCCTACGCGCTCTCCTGAACACGCAATATCTGGCGAACAAAGTGCAAACTTTTTGTACGATGGACTCTCGGCGCGCCCGCTAACGCAGCTGTCGCAGTTACCCCTCGGTCTCTTGAACGCCGCCCAAGGGCACCCGATGCTCGTCGAGCTCAAGAACGGAGAAACTCTTAATGGCCACCTGGTCATGTGCGATACGTGGATGAACCTCACATTGAAGGAGGTTGTCCAAACAAGTCCGGTACGCGCTACCCGCCGATGGCTCGCCCTCCCAAACCCCGCGCCTGACGACTGACGAGCACACAGGAAGGCGACAAGTTCGTCAAGATCCCCGAAGTTTACGTCAAAGGAAACAACGTATGATTTCTTCATGACTTGATAACGAGAGATGAGCGACATACTGACGCGCCCCAAGATTAAATACCTACGAGTGCCCGACGACATCATTGACGTGGTGAAGGAGAACCAACAAAACCAGCAAGGAGGCTTCCGTGGTGGCAGAGGTGGATCGAGAGGAGACCACGGCGGCCGCGGCGGTGACAGAGGACGTGGAAGAGGTCAGGGTCGTGGGGGCAGAGGAAGAGGAAACCGTGGCGGTGGGCAATGATGATATCCCGGACACGATCATGACGAGTACGGCTGCTACACGGCTCCCAGCGGTCGCCCTCCACAATGCCGAAGAACCCACGAAACTTTGAAGGTTGCAGACCTCCATATCAGACAAGTCTTGCACAGAAAGGGACACGAATGTGGATCGTTCGAGGTTGCAAGGCCATTGGATTAGCGTTATCGGCATCTGGCCGCGCGCCTGGGACACATGCGAACCGACATAATCATTTTACGTTTTAAAATCAAGAAAAGAAACCCATGAAAGGTCATGCTGCTCCGTATGACGCCTGTGATGCTTGTACGTGCTCGCCATCTACCGCAATGCGCATCATCAAACGAGTCACGTGATCGGTTGTGGACCGGGATTATCTCGGTGAGAGAAGCTCCGAAAAATGCCAGCTGCAGCTTTCCAGAATCTTGATGCTCCTCCGTGCCCGGCCGCATTATCAGCTCCATGACGGGGTCTCGAGTAGTCTTCGACGGCTTGTGGCGCTGCCTCTGCCCCTCCGTCGACACGCAAGCTGCCGCTAGGCTTCTCAATTCACAGATTGTCCCCGGGAAATCGCTTGCGACGCGCCAGCGAAGGCACCTCGTCCCGTTCGCCCGCCATCCCGCTGTTCGCACACAATGTCGACGACACACGACCGCCGCCCCTTCTGCCGTGCGTGCAGAAGGGAACTTGAAGTTACATGATAGCGACGAACCAGTACAAGCCAGTGCAGCTCAACAAACGTCAGACCCCGAACCTGTGGACGATAACCTCCCCGACCCAAACGAGCAGCTCCGAGCAGCCCCGCTGCCTGCCATCCTCGATGCGCTGCAGGTCCTTCGGGGCCAGCCCAGGAGCTTTAAGAAAGTCGCAACGATCATCACATATTTGGTGAGGGCTAGAGGTATTGAGATGAGTCCGAACCTCTACGAGGACCTGATCGTTGCTGCGGCCGATGTTCAAGGATCGGCAGCGTTTCTAGCACAGCTATTCGCGGAGATGAAGCGACTGCAGTTTACAACAACACCTTCAATCTCTCATGCCGCGCTGGCTGTGCGTTCCCTCATGGTATTTCGAATTGTTGTCGGTACTGATGATTGCAGGCCCTTGCGGTACACCCCGACTACCTACTTCGAAACGAGATCCTTGCTGCCATGAAGCAGTCATGGACCGAAGTCGATGCCTCGGGACAGGGCCACGTTGCCCTCGGGCTACTCCGCGACGGACAGATCGAGCTTGCTTTCGACGCGCTGGAAACCATCATCCACAAGCAGGTGCCCATCGCTTCATGGGTCTACGACGTCTTCATATTCACGCTCGCTCAGCACGGCTTCATAGATGAGGCGATTAAATTGGCGCACAGCAAGGTCCATTCTTCCGATAGTGAGACCGACATTGCTTTGTGGTATATGCTGCTTGACAGTTGCGCCGAGGCATATCACTACGAGGGCACGCGATACATATGGGGCAGGATGCTGGAGAAGGACAGAGAGCAGCTTTCGGACGGCGTTTTGCTCAACATTATCAACACGGCGGCCAGACAGCATGACTTTCAACTTGCCACAGGGGCAGCTCATTTGGTCACACAGAGAGGCGGAAAACTTGTTGCGCACCATTACGAGGCCCTGCTCGAATGCTACGGCGGTGTCGGAGACATTGCGAGCGCATTGCGGGTCCTATGCATCATGTTCAAGGCCATCTCCGTCGCGCCTTACGCCAGCACCCGTCCGATCTATCAGAGAATCAAGAAAGAACCAGAGAGCATCGACCCGGCTCTAAAGACTCTGACTGAACTTGTCCGCAACTACAAAGTCCCCATTGCCGCGCTCAATGTCATCATTGAGGCTGCCGTGGAAACACACGGCTACGCAAAGGCATTGGAGATTTACCAGAATGCGCACAAGTACACTGAGGCCACCCCCAATCATGTCACCATCCGTTACGTTCTACAAGCGTGCGAGGACACTGAAGCTCTCAAGGCTTTGGTGGCGGAGAACCCGGAGTTGGCCTTGAAAGGTGACAGAACAGTTTTTGCGAGGGTCGTGTACGAGTACGCCGTGGCTGGGGAGTTGGACCTCGCGTACAAATGCGTCAAGCTATTTGGTGAAGCTCCTGCGCCGGCTGAAGGCCAGCAGCCCGAACAGTCCACTTTTTGGATAAACAGGAAAACGCTGCTCACCCTCGTCAGGAAGTCCCTCGACGCCCAGGATGAGCGCGTATGGTGGTTGGTCGAGCAGGCCGAGAGGCGGAATATGGACGTCCAGTCGGGCTTATCGAAGCTGATGGCATCCGTTGCCGATGAGATCAAGAGAAGTTCGGGGTTGGGCCAAGAGGGCCCCGATATGAGACATCGCTCTCCGTTCTAGCATCGCGTATTGGTGTATGATTTGGACTGCCAACTGCACTCGCATCAACGTCTTTCGAACAAGATGTGCCGTACCCGGATCCAACCGCGGCGGCTGTATCATACAAATTGGTGCAAACCAACCAATTCCACATTTCAAAGCCTATCAATCTTCGGTCAAGCCGTGAACACTCTGCATACTCACACGAGTGACTCATTGTCGGATCACAGCGCGGCAACCTTATCCCGACTACCGTGTAACACGCCGAGGGGCTTCGGAGGTTATCGATGTTCCTGACTTCGTCAATTTAGATCCGTGCTTCTGAAGCTAATATGCAAACCTGGTTGGCTAATTTCTCACCACCCGCCGACGCACTAGTCCCGAACCCCATCATCCACTCCTTACGAGTCTTCAGTGTGCCTAGGACGCATCCGCTGTCCCATTGCATCATCCATCCTCTTGCGATGTCTCATCAGCCGACAAAAGTTATTTGGCAATGTGGTAGATTAGAAGAGTTCCTTAGGCTATGTGTTGCTGTGTTGCCCACAAACCAGAAGGCACGCTTCAACGGCTTGGCAGTAGCTGTGGATTTATAAGTCAGGCTGTGGCTCGGATGGATGATATCCCATCTCAAACATAGCGGGCGGTGCACACCAAGTGGCTGATTCATCCGTGGGATATCGGTTGGTTCAAAGTTCGGCCCAGCCATACATAAGCTTCTTGTTCGGCCAACCAATCAGATGATGCATGTACGGAGATCGTTCAAGGGTGCCGGAACTCGCTGATAAATCGACCAAAAGCCGGACGACGATTAGTGATGATCTGGGGTACTGAGTGATAGCTCATCCTCTCTCCCTTCGCTTCCGCGGAAGTGGCTAGCACTAGCAGCAAATACCTCACGATTCATAGACGCTAACTCCTTTGCTCTAGCTCCTAATTCCAGCGTCGACTTTTTGCACGCCATCTCGCTGTCCCTCAACGTCATGTCAGCCCTAGTAGCATGTCGAGACGGAACAATCCAATACCCTGGTGACACGGTTAGATCTTACCGCGCTCCAGGGGGGGAGAGAAAGAGAGAGAGAGAGAGATTTACGACGCCTGCTTCCGCGGGGCCCCCACCCATCCCAAACAAGATAGAGTCTGCACCAGACGGCCGGTTCATGTGTGTCTCTTTCCGGCGCATTCGAGAACTTAAGCCCGGCTCTGATTCATAATGCTACACGTGCTAGAGTCGTGCCGCATCGTAGTTATCGCTCGTAAGCCCGATGCCATGGACGGACCAACTTTGGGGCCTGCTCAGTCATCATGCCGGCAATCATGCTGCTTCTTTGGTCTTTGAGTGTTGTCAACCCTATTGTCTGCTTGGCAGAGATAGGGATGATTATTAGTATATAGGAAGACGTGTTTTCGGTGTCAATATCGTTCCTCTCTTGTCCTGTCAATTCACACACTCATCTCTCAAGTTTTATACCCCTACCAGGTGAAGGCATCTCGACAGCTTCAGGCGCAAGCCAGACCCCAAAAAGTACTCTAACACCTCTGCCCACCATTGCGCATAGCATATAATCCCAAGTCACATCATCAGCAGCCGTTCCCATGGCACAATTAATTCGAGATGCGCCTGTGGGCCAGGTCATCCGCTTCATCACACGAAATAAGTTCCTCCAATATCCAGAGGAGAAGCCCGACTTCCAGCTTCCGCAGCAATGGCTCGACGTCCTGAACTCTGAAAAGTCCGGCCCGGCTGAAGCAACCCCAGCCGACGCCGGCGCATCACCCAGGTCTTCCGTGTCAATCAACGCCGAGGAGGAAAACAGGCTCTCCCAGAAGGAGGCCGAAGACGCCGCGCCGTACGGCACCTCACTCCAGCGGACCCGGAGCCGGGAGGAGACGGTCCCGTATACATCAGACCGGCTCCAGGTGGACGAGATCCACGAGATCCAAAAGACGAAGAGCATACCCATCGCACCGAGAAAGACAAAAGACGGCGCCATTCTGGTGGACTGGTACTTTAGCGACGACGTCGAGAACCCGCAAAACTGGTCCAACGCGAAGCGCGGACTCATCGCTGCCGTCATCTGCATCTACACCTTTGTCGTCTACATGTCGTCGGCAATTTACACGCCCTCCGTCGAGGGCATCATCCACGAGTTCGGCGTCGACATGACTGAGGCTTCGCTGGGTCTGGCGCTCTTCGTCCTGGGTTACGGCATCGGCCCCTTGCTCTTCTCGCCGCTCTCTGAGATCCCTCGCATCGGCCGCAACCCGATTTATATCGTCACCATGTTCCTCTTTGTCATCGTGTCGATCCCTGCGCCTTTGGCGAGCAATTTCCCCGGGCTGATGGTCCTTCGCTTCCTGCAAGGCCTCTTTGGGTCGCCGTGTCTGGCGTCTGGCGCCGCGTCTCTGGGTGACATGTATAGTCTCCTGAACCTTCCCTATGCCCTCATTGCTTGGGTAAGTACTTCTCCGTGACGACATCCGTCTTTCAATACAATCGTGCTAACTCGCAAAAAACAGGTGTCTGCGGCATACTGCGGTCCAGCTCTAGGGCCCCTCTTGTCAGGTTTCTCCGTTCCCGCCATGGGCTGGCGCTGGTCTCTCTGGGAGATCCTCTGGGCCGCCGCGCCCGTCTTCCTCGTCATGTTCTTCTTCCTCCCAGAGACTTCGACGCCCAACATCCTCCTCCGCCGCGCGCAGCGACTCCGAAAGCTGACGGGCAACGAACGCTTCATGTCCCAGTCGGAAATTGACCAACGCAACCTAAAGACCTCGGCTGTCGTCATCGACGCGCTCATCAAACCCCTCGAGATCACCATCAAGGACCCAGCGATCCTCTTCGTCCAGGTTTACACCGCCATCATCTACGGCATCTACTACTCCTTCTTCGAGGTGTTCCCCCTGGTGTACCCGGTCTACTACGGCATGTCCATCGGCCAGATCGGCCTCGTCTTCCTCTGCGTCCTCGTCGCCTGCCTCCTCGGCATCGCCACCTACGTGTCCTACCTGGCCTTCTACATGGTGCCCCGCATCAAGAAGTTCGGCTTCCCGATCCAGGAGAACCGACTCGTGCCCGCTCTGCCCGCGTCTTTCGGCCCCACCATCGGCCTCTTCATCTTCGCATGGACGGCATCACCGGCGATCCACTGGATCGTCCCGACCATCGGCATCACCGTCTACGGCGCCTCAGTCTTCATCGTGATGCAATGCATCTTCGTCTACGTCCCGCTGTCCTACCCACAGTACGCTGCCAGTCTCTTTGCTGGCAACGACTTCTTCCGCTCCGCTTTCGCCTTTGCTAGCATCCTGTTCGCGGGCCCAATGTACCGAAACTTGGGTGTCGCGCGCGGGACGAGTCTGTTGGGTGGACTGAGCACCATTGGCATTCTCGGCATCTGGTTGCTCTACTTCTACGGTGGTAGGCTCAGGGCTCTGAGCAAGTTTGCAATTTCGTCTGACTGAGGCGTTCCGAAAAGTTTTGGTGTTTGACTAGAGCGCGGTTGATGATGATGATATCGCATGGCCTTGCTTCTTTCGGTTTCTGCTTTTCATGGTGCCTAGACCTCTTAAACATAGACTAACTAGAATATAATAATGGATTAATATCGCGAGCAACTAGCCCATCCCAATTACATCTGCAACACGGACTGAACCAGTAATCTCACGAATCCCATCAACGGCAGGCTGCCTTCCCCTTTTCAGAAATACCACAGACTTTCTTAGGTGAGGAGCTCCGAAACACCTGACCAAAGCACTGGTGCTCTCATGACAACCCTGTACCCACGAGCCGGTACCGGATCTAAGCGATGCGATTCATCCCGGTTTACCCCCGTCTCATCTATCCCCACCTATCCACCAGTCTGATCCCGCAACCTTATCATCGCACGAGTGCACTAACCAGATTTGGGCATTATTCTGAGAAACTCGACAGAGCAGGGGTTTCTCGCTGTCGTGGCCGATACCGAAATGCTTTTCCTCTGAGATGAGCCTAATTGCTGTGGGCATAGTCAAGGAAAGTTTGTCTGCAACCTCCGAGTTTCGTTCCTTTACGAGCTAAACTGAAGACGGGTAATCTTGAGAGAGGTGACGACTGTCTCAGGGTATATATTATCCAAACACGAGCGTGGGAGGCGTCGGCTAGCACAAATATATAGACCTACGTGACTACGAATATAAAGTAGGCGTGTCGTATCCCACGATCAGTTTCCACAACGTAGGGTCCGTCTCAAAGCACGAATGAACAAGGCCTGAACCAATGGCGAAACCTGAGATCCCTACTTCCCGTCCCTCTATTGCACGATTCGATGCAACGGATCCGTCAACCACAACAGAGACGCTCGTCGAAATTATCAACCGCGATGGCGGCGTCATAGTAGAGAAACTGATCGAGCGCCAACTCGCGGAAGAAATCAAGCGAGATCTGAAACCGTACTTTGACGGGGACATTCCAGACAAGTATGGTTTCTTCCCCGCAACAACGCAGAGAGCATCCGGACTGCTGGGGATCTCTGACGGTTGCGTAGAGCTCGCCTGCAACCGCGTCTATACCGACGTTGCGAACGCTCTGGTCTCTTCGTCGTACACTTTCTGGAGGGGTGATCAGCAGAAGACGGTGAGCGGGAAGCCCATCATCTCCTCGACGGTGGGTTTTCGGGTGAACCCGGGCGGAAAGCAACAGGTGCTGCACCGCGATGACAAGTAAGTAGTCCTGCAGTTCCCGTGTTGAAGCAGAGCTCCGCTGACATGAGATTCTCAGTGATTATCACCCTCACGATAAGAAACTGCCCGTAATGATTGGGTGCGTCACCGCCTTGACAAAGACAACGGCGGCAAACGGCGCAACAGTCGTGATTCCCGGCTCGCATCTCTGGGGCCCCGATCGTCGTCCGCTTGACGAAGAGACCGTGCCGGCGGAACTTGAGCCCGGCGATGCCTTGATCTTCCTCGGGAACCTATACCACGCTGGCGGAGGAAACGTGACCAAGTGAGTACATCGCGGGCAGCTGGCATTCTCCACCAGTGCCGGACCCCGAAAGCAGAGTCTTGATTAACCTTCGCCGTCTCTCATTGACAGGGACGAATACCGGGAGACTGTCGGCATCTTCCTCTGTCAGCCGACGCTCCGTCCTGCAGAGAACCAATTTCTCATGGTGCCGTTTGAACGGGTCAAGAAGATGAAGCCCCAAGCACAACGTCTTCTTGGGTATGGTTTGTGCGAACCGGGCGTTGGGTTCATGAAGTATCAAGACCCGATGCGGGTGCTTTTTGGCGTCGAGGATGAAGAGACAGTCGACTTCTAATGCTCTACAGCCTCAGACGGTAGATGGAGTAGAATGAAATCATCTGTCTGGAATCGAACGGCACTGTTGTTGCTCACACCACGAGGATCCGCTGCCCTGTTGCTTCTCTCATGCGAGCGAGGGGACGCCAGTCTTCGTTGTCTCCAGCCCAGAACTCCTTGAGAAAGTTCACCGCGTCCAGGTAGTAGTTGAACCGTGTGCCGTGATAGATTGATGTGAGCAGTTCCGAGACTATTTCTTGCCGATGCTGGTCTCCATGACATTCGGTCCCGGCAATAAAGGTTGGCCAGGCTAGATTTTGGACGAAGGCGGCTTGGTCTTCGAATCTGGTAAGTTGATCGAATAGACCGTCAACAGCTACAACATGCTCCGAGGTGTGTTCCATAGCATAATCCAGGCATCTCAATGAGTATAGCAACCCTGCGCTATGATACACCTCCACCAAACGTGTGAAATCGCGAGACATACTGGACGCTACTAGCCCGAGTCGTCCTGCCGCCATCAAAGTAGCGCCTCTTGCCTGCTCAAATTCGGACCGAATCAGAGATACCGTGAGACCGCTGCGTGTGAGTGAAGTTGAATTATCAGACTCCACGACATCTGCTGATACGAGCGTGACATGATGCAAGAAAGTCAGATACCTCGAAAAGAGGAGATCGCCTGAGCCAGGTGCCGGTGTGATGGCGTTTCGGATAAGGGGCAGGTCGAACGATGTTGTAGCTGCCAGGACATCATCAATAGCCAGTTGGTTTCGTAAGAAAGCAAATAGCTCTCGGTTGTTCACGGAGTTTTGGTTTTTATGGCTTTTGAAAAGGTTGACAATTGTCCGGGCCGCCCGTCTGTGATGATCGGCAATTTGAAGGCGGCGACGGGTATTCTCGTAGTTGCACATGATCAGGATTGAGGCCAGCATCCATTCAGCGTCAGCCATGTCGGCATGGTCGTCCAAATCGTCGCCTTTTATGAGCCGTGCCGTCATGTTCTGGGCACGTCTTTGTATTAGATGCAAGCACCTGTCGCGCGCATTTTCCGCAACGGACTCGTCAGGAAACGCCATGGCGCCGTGTTGAGCCGCGAAGGCCATGATGGCGAAGCCGATTGCCGGTCGATTCACGGCGAGAGGGACGACCTGCGTGCGGTAATGGTTCTCCTCTGAGTCTAGCCACACCATAAGGCCAGCGAGGTTGCGTCTGTAATAGTCCATGAATACCGTCGAGTCGAAGTCGTTGCAAGCTTGAGTTGTTAGAGCTACTGGCGGGTTCGGCAGGGCAACTCGCAACAGGCAATCCTTTTGCTCGTGAAGCTTGGAGCTTCGTGAAACCAAAGTTTCCGAATGGCTTTTGGGAAATGCGGCCTTATCTTGAGGAGAAGGCCTCGTTGGGATTGTCCGGCCCCGAAGATGTCCTCTTGCGGCAACGCCGTCTACCCATCGTAGACGGCGTTCGTAGCCGGGACATACAAGCCCTTTCTTTTGGCACTTGACGCATTGGGGCCGCTGGTTATCACACCGAATCCGACGACGCTCACAATTGGCGCAGCCTGAGGGTCTGATTAGCACAGACGAGGTGGCAGAGGTAGACGGGGTATTCGGCGTACCTTTCAATTGCTTCTCGGGGGTCTCCTCGATAGACTTGGGACTCATGCTGTGTGCTTCTCCTTCTAGAAAGCTGTCAAAATCTCACGGCCACAGCAATAGGTGCTTGAACTGCACACTCACGTTTGCATTTGCGCGATGCTTGGTGGAACTAGCGGCTGAAGAAAGTTTATCGGTCAATTGCGGGGATCCTTCCGATTGATCAAAGGATGGGCGTCCAAAACCTTGACGTGTCAGGTGAGCACACTAGATCAAGACTCTAGTAGGAATACAGCACCTGTGTTTAAATCTCGTCCAGCTAAATCAAAGAAGCTCGATATGTAACCGAATACTCAACTCTTTGATGGAATCTTAGAGCGCACGGCGTTGTTGCGAGTCATGCTTACTGGTTTTCAGACGAGGGGTGAGATGTAATAGAGAAATGAACCAGTCGGTTTTCTTCATAGTAACATATAGTGTTGAATTCGTCCTTCCCGTCGGTCCGGCTCTTCCCTGTCCCTCCCTGTTCTATTTTTGAAGGCAATAGCAGTGTATTGTGTCTGCCATGCATAAGTTGGATAAGAATTGATTAATTGCTGCGTATGCTGACACCACGTCTTGTCGCCTGCAGCTATTTCGTGTTAACAAGTACGCCAATGAATGGCCAGTGTTGCCTAAAATCTTACACTCCTCGACGTCGCACGTTTGAACTCCGCAGTTCCCTCATCCCCTGCCCCTTCAACAGACGAGCATTCTGATCTGCTACAACTATTCAAACACTACTTGAGTAATGATATGAGAACTCCGGGATATTGCCATGGAAGATGATTATATTCAAAAAGCCAGAGTCTCCCCACACTGGATATCTGAAGCCAAGACCTTCTGGTATCGCCAGAATCTATCATCCGATAGATTCGCCTTCATTTACGTCAACGCCATCGAGAAGCAGCGACGCCCAGCTTTTGATCATGACAAGCTAGCAAAGGTTCTTGGAGAGAAAACGAACCAGAAAGACGGAGAAATCGAGGCTTTCAAGCTGCCCTTCACATGGATCGACCTCGAAAACGATGTGTCATCCGTTCGGTTTTTCCATGAGGGAAAGAAATGGTGTTTTGATATTGAGGGGAACCTCGGTGAGTGGGAGGCTTCGCTCAACCTGCCCAAGACGCCGTTCATCTCGAAAGAGCGTGCATCTGTGCGTTCAAACCACCCAGTCACTATCACATTTGTCAACAACAGCGATGCGGACTTGAGAAAGTGTTGGATAGATTGGGAAGGCAAGTCGATACCTTACGGAAAGATTAGCCGTGGAGCAAGTGGTACCCAAAAGACATATGCAGGTCATGTCTGGAAATTTGTCGATGACAAGTTAGCGACGGTCAAGGCAATTTATGCCACACCCGAGGAAGTCGTATGTTCTGTGGTCATTGATGAACAAAGTATGGATGGGCTCAGCTCTCAGAGTTCAGAGGAAGATATTCCAGAGGACAATGACGAGAAAGGGCGTTTAGACCCGAATGAGAAGAGCCCATTAGGCCTCTTCGTACGAGATTTCGACCTTTGGCACCGCGATGAAGACGAGAGAGAGTCACGTCTATCCTACAACGGTACCAATGATAACCAATACGACGATTCGAAGATCTGGGTGTCTCCCGACAAGAAGTTCTGCATTGCTTGGCAATTCGTTCCAGAGGAAGATCATCAAGTGCATCTCCGCGACTCTGCTCCGAAAGATCAGACTGAGCCACAAACAAAAATTATCCGCTACTTGAAGGCTGGCGATCGCGTCAGAGTTGATCGGCCTAGGTTGTTCGACCTGGAATCGAAGAAAGAGGTTGCTACGAATAGCACCCTGTTTCATACCCCATATGAACTTCGAAATAGTGGCTGGAATCGTGACGCCTCCGAGTATCGCTTCATATACAACGAGCGCGGCCATCAACTTCTTCGCGTGGTAGGTATCAACGTAGAAGGAGTTGTCAGATCTCTAGTCGAAGAGCGCAGCGACACGTTCATCGACTACTCCACGAAGCTCAATCGGCATTTGATTAGAGATACTGATGAGTTCATCTGGGCTAGTGAGCGAGATGGCTTCAATCACTTTCATCTCTTCGACCTACAGACAGGGAAACTAAAGAATCAGATTACGAGAGGGAAATGGAATGTCAAAGAATTCGTTTTTCTCGACAACGATACTAGACAGGTTTGTTTTGAAGCATGCGGAATAGTCCCGGGTCAAGATCCTTACTATACACAGTTGGCTCGCGTCAACTTTGATGGGACCGGTTTTAAAGTCATGACGGATGGTGACGGTACACATCATTGGACATTTTCTGCGGGGAAGAAATACTTTTTCGACACATGGTCGCGAGTGGACTTGCCCCCGCGTACTGCCCTGAGAAGTATGGAAACTGGAGAGCTGGTCGTACATCTCGAAGGCGATGAAGGCGATGTTCACCGGTTGGAAACAGAGGGCTGGATAGCCCCTGAGAGATTCAACTGCCTCGGGTGAGACAGCGAAGAATCCATATACGGTATCATGATTCGACCTGCAGATTTCAAACCCACGAGAAAATACCCTATCCTGGAATCCGTTTACGCAGGCCCCCATGGCTTCCATGTACCAAAAGAGTTCAGTGCTTTGCGTTCAGGCCGACAGTGGGCAGAGCAAGGGTACGTTGTGGTTCAAATTGACGGTATGGGAACCAACTGGCGATCGAAGAAGTTTCATGACGTATGTTGGAAGAATCTCAAGGATGCTGGATTCCCCGACCGCATATCCTGGATCAAAGCCGCAGCAGAGACTCGGCCATGGATGGACACAAGTCGAGTAGGGATTTTTGGGGGCTCGGCAGGCGGTCAAAATGCCGTGGGAGCGCTTTTGTTCCATGGCCACTTTTACAAAGCAGCTGTTGCCGATTGCGGATGTCACAATAACCGCATGGACAAGATCTGGTGGAACGAGCAGTGGATGGGGTATCCAGTCGACAAGTCATATGAAGACTCATCCAATGTGGTCCATGCTAGCAAGTTGACGGGAGCGTTATTACTGATTGTTGCTGAGATGGATGACAATGTCGATCCCGCATCTACTTTGCAGTTGGTCAAGGCTTTGAATGACGCAGACAAGGACTATGAATTTCTCTACATGCCTGGTGCTCAGCATTGTTCAGGGCGGACGAAGTATGCTCTCCAGCGGCAAGAGAGATTCTTCAGACGACATCTCCAAGGCCCAGGGTAACAGCACGTCTCTTCTCCTAATCGAGCGGAACCATTTGACGCCCTGCAACGATCAGACTTCTCTATTCGTTTACAGTTTCAAAGCTGCGTTTCGGTCTGATTGATCTCTCAAGTGCTAAGCAAGATAAAGATTCTTCAATTCTAAGTCTCTGCTCTTGTGTATTAATTATGTCTTCCTGCATCTTGGGTATGCTCCGTATGCTAGCTCGCGGTCATCGTCTCAACCATGACTCCTATTATCCCTGTTCGGCAGTCTATATGTACTCAGGAAGTTTCCAGCTTGACGCACCTAGCAGCTCAAGGTTCAGCCCTGGCTGCAAACGTGAAAGAGACTTGATCAGCGAAACTCTGCTTAAGGCTCTTCTATCAAGCTCGGAATGCTCCTTTCCAACCCAGACTCTTCGTCAGGCCCATCAACGCTCTCCAAATTGGTTTTTGTTACTAATCAGGTTCCCCCCAAGCCAAGAGCCGGCGGCCTGTTCCCCCGCAAAGTGTGGTCAAGCTCTCGCGTAAGATTTTCTTCGAGCCCATGCAATCAGTGGATCAAAGCGGCATCTGGAGTCCTTCTTAAGGACCACACTTGATGGATTACATCTCCCCGCCGACTCTTTGCTCCATCATCTTTGCGGGGAGGAAGACTCGCATGTTTTCAGTACGTAAAGATACATGTATCGACGACAACACCGGGCGCCGGCTCGATACCTTGAACTCTTTCATGTTTTGTCTGCAAGTTTATTGCCAGACTTGGAGTAGCGCTGGCCATGCATGAGCTTATTCTTAGCAAGGGTGCCCAGCAAATCGGTCAGTGACATTCCCGGATAAGTGTCCGGCACTTGAGTGGCCAGCCAATCCCTCCCCCCCTGGCTAAGAGATATCTCAGGGATCTCATGTAACTACCTATAGTGGCGATACCGATATCGAAAGGGATGATTTCCCCGCGTCGAAGTCGCACCACCAGATCGTTGCCACATCGAAAGAGTGCCGGCGGGCACCTGGACTATGTCAAGCTAGGGCTGCCGTCGGCGACATTGGTCTTTGAGGCAGCAATTTGAATGATAATGAGTGCCGATATCGTCATTTCTTGAATGCCGCCACTGGATCGCCCAAGGATGCTCTGGTAGCACCGGGCCGGTCGCGTTCGAATGTCCATCCAGACGGGCCCGTCTCGATTTTCCTCCTCGGACCTCCCCGAAGAAGAGCAGCAGGTTTTTATGCAACTTCCTAATTCTCAACACGCGCCAAGCATGGCTCGCGATACGAAGGGACACGGCGACGGCGAGGCTACGGCCCCCAAGGTCGACGAGACTCGGCCGGCCGACCAGCACGACGTGGCCATCAACGCGTCCGGCCATGTCCAGGAACTCGAGCGCAACTTCAATCTACTCTCTCTTGCCGGTGTCGGATTAGTGGTCGGCAACGTCTGGCCAGCGATCGGAGGCTCCATCCTCGTCGCCATTTTCAACGGCGGTCCCCCGGGCGTCCTCTACGAGTTCATCGCTGTATCGGTCTGCTACTGGACCGTCGCCGCCAGCATCGCCGAGTTGGCGAGCGCCATTCCTTCATCCGCCGGAGTGTACCACTGGGCCTCCGTCACACCCGGCCGCCGATGGGGCCGCGTCGTAGGTTTTTTCGCCGGATGGTGGAACTATCTCGCTTGGATTCTCGGCGCGGCCAGCATGGCATCGATTTTTGGCAACACCGTGGTCCAAATGTACGCGCTGAACCACGCGGGTTTCGAGGCCAAGCCCTGGCACGTCTTCATCGTCTACATCATTGCGACATGGCTCGCCTGCGCCATAGTCTGCCTGGCTAACAGCACCATGCCACGGATCAACGACTTTGGCGTCTTTGCGATTGTAGCCGGTTTTCTCATCACCGTCATCACTGTAGCCGTTATGCCCGGCCGAGACGGACGGCCGCCCCATGCGTCGTCCTCCTTTGTCTGGGCCGAGTGGACCGCCGACATCGGATACCCGAATGGCTTTGTCTTCGTCGCCGGCATGCTGAACGGAGCTTTCAGTGTCGGCGCCGTCGATGCCACGACCCATTTGGCGGAGGAGATTCCCAACCCGCAGCGCAACGTTCCCATCGCTCTTGGGCTGCAACTGAGCATCGGCTTCATCACCGGGTTTTGTTATTTGGTCACCATTATGTATGCAATCAACGACTACGATGCTCTCTTTGAATCGCCATACCCGATCGCCGAGATCTACCGCCAGGCAACCGGCTCCGCTGCCGGTGCGACCGGCTTGCTCGCCCTTGTACTCATATGCATTGGTTTGACGCTGATAGGACTATACATCACTTGCGGTCGCACGCTATGGGCCCTCGCCCGTGATGGCGCGAGTCCCCGTCCCGCCCTTCTGGGACATGTGAGCCCCAGGCTGGGCATGCCCATGTGGTCAACGGTCTTGTCAGCCATACTTGTCACAGTTCTCGGGGCCATCTACGTCGGCAGCACGACAGCTTTCAACGCCTTTGTGGGAAGCTTCATTCTTCTTTCTAGCAGCTCCTATCTCGCCGCCATACTGCCCAATCTGCTCTCGGGGCGGAAGATGGTCGCGTACGGGCCCTTCCACATGCGTGGGTGGATTGGCTTTGCCATCAACGGCATCGCATGCTCTTACATGCTGGTGTGGTTTGTCATCTACTGCTTTCCTTTCGCCCTGCCTACCGATGCCCAGTCGATGAATTACGCATGCTTGATTTGGGGTGGCTTCACCATATTCGTTGGTGTATGGTGGCTGTTGGGGGCAAGGAAGGGATATGAAGGCCCGACTATAACGGGGGGTGCCGTGATCGAGGCAGCATCTCACCATCATGCAGCCTAATTTATCTCAAAGCCAAAAGTATCGATGTTCATCTAACTCCAACGGCTTACGCCAATAAGACATGCTTTCCCACGTCAAAAATGAAGTCGATTTCTACTACAGCTTATGCGTACAGTTCTCTCCTTGTGACTAGCATCGACTACACAAACATGCATACCTCAGGGCGGATCATCTAGCGAGTTGTCAAGCGATTTGAGCATAGATCTCTCTGCTCACCCAAATGCTTCCGCCGTTGTTGGAGTGAACGTCTCCGAATGTAAAGCTGATGAGTACATGTACAAACACGAGACTGGCTCAAGCTAATTATTGCATGGCAATGAAAATAGACGGTTACTTTGCAAGGCATGTTTGGTGACAGCTTAGCTGATTGCTATGGTCTAGAGTAGAATTGGATTCGCTGCGTTCGTTGAACACCAAAGAAGTCGTCAAAGCTATCGACCGTGTGTCATCGAAGCTGAACAGCCCGTGGGGTATGATGCACAAGACTCTCTGTTTTTCAACCATCACAGATGACTGACAGGTAGTGGCAAGCGTTCGGATGAATATGTGCGTATCAGTGCTTTGCCTTACCGGGGTTTCAGCGATGTTTCCGGGCGGAATGTCTCTGGGTTCACGACGTGCGATAACGGAAACGATGAGAGGGGAACACAGACGGCGAAATGATAGTCCGGCGCGGAACGTCTACTACGTTGCCTTGCTACATCATTGACTGAAGATGTCTCAACCAATCGACACCCACCCAAACGTCCCTACCCCCCCAGCTCTTGCACCTCAGGTCTGTAACCGGTGCGATACAGGAAAGATCTCCCGTCAGCGAACTAGCGCCAAGCATTTGCCAAAATGAAAAGCAAGGCTACCTCGTCTGCCCTCAGCTCGTACAATGATACGGCCTATCCGTACAATCTCGGCACGTTCTATCGCGCCGTGAGTACGACGAGCCAGGAAGCTCAGATCTGGTTCAGCCGCGGCCTGATTTGGGCATACGCCTTCAACCATGAGGAGTCTGCGAGATGCTTCCGAAAAGTCATTGAAAATGACCCGTTCTGCGCCATGGCTTACTGGGGACTCGCTTTTGTCCTTGGGCCCAACTACAACAAACCTTGGAAGGTCTTTGACGGAGAGGATCTTGCCACAACCACCAAACGCGCGCATCATACCATCATGCAGGCAAAGAGCTACTCATCCAAGGCTGCGCCGGTCGAGATTGCTCTCATCAATGCTCTTTCTTGTCGTTACCCGCAGGAGAATCCAGCGGAAGATTGCTCCAAGTGGGACCAGGATTACGCCCAAGCCATGGACTCGGTCCTGCAAGCATATCCCGATGACCTTGACGTGGTTGCCATATGGACAGATGCCACGATGAACGTCACGCCTTGGAATTTATGGGATTACAGGACCGGGAAGCCGACGCCAGGCGCCAGGACTCTGGAGATCAAGGACGTAATGGACCGCACTTTCAGGCTGAGAGGCTCTCTGCAACATCCCGGTCTTGTTCACTTGTACATCCACCTCATGGAAATGTCACCAAATCCGGAAGCCGCTCTCACTATCGCTGATAATCTTCGCGGACTTGTCCCAGACGCGGGACATCTCGAGCATATGCCTTCGCATTTGGACATTATTTGCGGCGAGTACCGTCGCGCCATTGCCTCCAACTCTGACGCCATCCGTGCGGACTCCAAATTTCTCGCCCGAGAGGGTCCACTCAACTTCTACACCTTATATCGGTCTCACGACTATCACTTCAGGCTCTATGCCGCCATGCTGTGCGGCCAGTCCCAGGTGGCTCTCAAGACGGTGGAAGAGCTCGAGTCAACCATTTCCGAAGACCTCCTTCGAGTCGAATCTCCCCCAATGGCAGACTGGCTCGAGGGCTTCCTCGGTATGAGAGTGCACGCCCTCATTCGCTTCGGCCGCTGGGATGCTATCCACGCCCTTGAACTCCCGCGGGACCCCAAGCTGTACTGCTCAACCACGGCGATGACCCACTACGCCAAGGGTATCGCCTTTGCCGTGCAGGGTAGAATAGAAGAGGCACAACAGCAGCGCGAACTCTTTGCGGAGGCAGTGAAACTTGTGCCAGTGTCCCGCGCGGTCTTTAACAATACTTGTCAAGAGATCCTCTCCATCGCCGCGGCCATGTTGGATGGTGAGCTGGCATACCGAAAGAAGGAGTACGACATCGCTTTCGCACATCTGCGCAAGGCCGTGGAGAGAGACGATGCGTTGCTCTACAATGAACCTTGGGGCTGGATGCAGCCAGCACGACACGCTCTCGGCGCACTATTGCTGGAGCAGGGTCGAGTCGAGGAGGCGGCGGCTGTATATAGTGCAGACCTCGGGATCGACGGCAGTCTGCCGAGGGCCCAGCAGCACCCCAACAACGTATGGGGGCTGCACGGTTTCTACGAATGTCTGGTGAAGTTGGGGCGGAATGAAGAGGCCAAGATCCTCAAGCCGCCGCTGCAAATGGCGTTGGCCGTGGCGGACGTCCCCGTCAAGTCTTCGTGCTTCTGTCGCTTGAAGACGGTCGATTGACAGGTGCGGTCCCTGAGGCCTCCATCTCAGCGTCGCCTCAGAGACCTTGAGAGACCACGTGCCCATTTATGACACTGGCTTCCAGGCGAGGAAATGCATGGTGTGGTGAGAGGGGTCGTGGGAACAGGTGGCTTTGGACTGACAAAGGCATTGAATGGCAGTGACACTGGCATTATGAAAAAGGATTGCATTAATGGAAAGCATTCGTTTCGCTGTTTAGCAAGGCAAGAGGAGATCACCTTTACATTGGTAGAATTGAAAACTTGTGCAATGACGGCCAGTCCTTTCAGACATCCAAGCGATAAGAATATTGATGCTTCCAGTCGCTTGCATGAATTAGTCTTGAGGGCAGAATTCTTTTGGAATCTGGAGTAGAAATTTCGAATAAAAAGTTGGAAGTCAACAACGGTGGACCAATCACCTAGGAGTTCTTTTTCATAAAACTACATGTGCCGCGCGGCTTTCTCATGTCTTTCGATCATTCTAGCCTCGCTGCGACTATGACCTCGCATCTACCGTAAGAATTAGTGCCATTACAGCCGACGGGTATCGTACGACCCAAGGCTCAATATAAGGTCAGACCAAGAGAACCGCGGGGTAGTAGAATTTCACCTGCTTAGTTTGTAGACATATTCCGGAATCCAAAGGCGCGGTATATGCCAAGCTATGCAGGTTCAAACCTACCAATCTAAGTTGCTCTCAGGGAGGTGCCGTTTTGAGACACCGGTAGTATTTATTCGAGACGTCCAGAAAAGGCCCGCAATAACCAAGAATATTCTGTCCTACTTGATTGAGCGGCCCAGCGTTAAGTATTTATTATTGAAACTCAAGTCAACCCTCCAAAATATTGGATAGTTCAAGTACAGACATGGTTTCCCTTTCGTGTATGTTTATGTACAAGTCAATATATTTTTTAGGCTAGCTCAATTTGAAGCACCCCAATGTTCCCCTGTATGACGTTTGAAAACTGATCAACACCAGGGCAATGAGCAACGATGTCTTCAAGCATATATATTTCAGAAGCTTAGCCGGAGCAGGTGCCAGCCTCGGAGGGCTCACAGCCACCAGCGCAGCTGTTGTACATCCGGCACCTGTTTTTGGCGTCGGCGCAGACGTTCTTGGGGGTGGCAGTGTCCGTGTAGGTTAGGTTGGTGCCGGCCAGCTCACCGCCGTTCTTGGCGGTAACACTCTCCACGTGAACGTTGCGTTTGCACTGGGACCTGCACTGTAAAAGTTGAGATAGAGATTAGCTGGTTCTGCTGCTCGACTTGGAGAATGCTGTAGGACAAGGTTGTAGATCAAGACTTCGGGGGCCAGGAAAAGGTCACACGTATGTTTCCCGTAAGAGCGGGAGAGCTTGCCGCAGTCCTCAACGTAGTAGTTGATCTTTTCAAAGGCTAGCATTCCTAGCTTTCACGAATCGCAGCCAATCGATGCTCAACTCGTTGACTGTACCGCGGCCATTTTGCTGGATAGCCTTGTCAGAGGTGTGATACGCACCACTGCCAACGATCCAGGTCTAGGTTTCAGCCTTGTCGTTCTTAATGGAGATGGCATCATCACAGACTTCCTCGAGCCATATGAAATGAAGGGTGTAGTGTCCGTTCTAGTAGACATTCTCGACACGCATGTTTCTTGCTAATGATGGCATTCTTCAGGTACTGCCGGCCTAAATATAAAAGACGGAGCCCTTGTAGTCCTGGAGAAGTCAGAGTTGCCAGATACCAAGATAACTAATGTAAGTTGATTATTTTAGAGCAGAGGCTACTCACCTTCTCAGACTGGCCACCGCAAGAACCGAAGCCGCGGTCAAAGCGCCACCACTTTCACAGGTAGCAAAAAAGAATGTATTCTGTCCAACACGTGAAATTTCAGCTCTGTTGTCCAGTTGAATCTCATCAACTCTGGTAGCAAACGGAGTTAACAAGGGCAGAGAACAAGCTCGGAATCACCAGTCGCAGCAAATGGAAACTCCTTTGAAAATCATATTCGTCAAGGAATAAATTTCATGTCCTCAAGAGATTCCTATAAAGCGCAGTTGTTGGTTCCGAACACCTTGTGCTGGATGCGTTGCCGACTCCCTCACTAGCAAGGAAGTCGACGTAGCGACAGTTGAGATCATCCTTCTAAGGCTGGCTTCTGAAGCTATTCGTACCCCAAACATAGTCTCTGCCTAGTTTGTTGAGTTTCAGCACCGTATAGGTACACAATAGGATCAGTAGCCCTTTTGAAGTAGTCTTTCTACTGGCAGCTGCCTTGCTAGTAAAACGCCATGTTGGCCTACCGCTAAGTTTCATAATCTATTCTTACCTTCGTGTAGACATCCTAATCGACTTACACCCTTACCTGGTAAACGACACTTAGATAAGATGGTTAGTTGCTTCATGCACTATCAAAAGACCTAGCCTGCAGTCCACAGCAATACTATAAACTGCAGCTTTTTATCAGAATACATTTATGACACCAAAATGGGGAAGTTGAAGTCCAATGCCTCTTCAAGCTTTAAAGCTCACGGAGAACGCTCTACACAACAGAGACAGGGCTTTTTTATAGAGCACTCCGGTTTCTCATCCTTGGGTAACAGATGCGTTGTTCCCATCAAGTGTGCTCACAACGATGTATCAATCTCACAGAGCACAAATGAACGACATTTAGTATATTAAAAGTTGAAAGTATATTATAAAGTTATCGGATGCCGGAACTTGCGCGTGATTGGACTAAGAGGCATCAGTTCCACTTCTTCCTGTTCCCATCGGACATCGACTCGTGCTTTAATCTAGCTAGTCATTGAATTCAACTCTTCTCGCTGGTCTAGGAGCACGCAAGGCCATCAGTTTCAGTGTTGCCTTGAGGCTTAGTAGCTACTAGAGCAGCTAGGCAAGTTGACGTGGGCTATGTCCCCAGTTGGGAAAGTATTCACAAACTCACATTCCTACCACGGAGACACAATCGTACCATTTTTCGAGAAAAACTCACGATACCGTGACCAACACTGTAACAGATAGATATCGGTGTAAACAATAAACCATGAGTTTCCTTAATTAAATGTACGACCATCATCCGTCGTTTAGGATCTATCAACAGATCTATACACGTTAGAAACGCAAAATACGAAAACCCAATAAACCCCATCTCTCACACACAATCGCAGCGAGTGTTCTATCTACATTTCTCTTGTCTCAGTACAAGCGAGCGAACCAGCAAGCCCTGAGTCATGTTTGTCCACCCAGCTTTTACACAACCAACCTGATGTCGACGCCAGATATCCTGAACCCTTTAGCCAGGAAACCGTGTGCCTTCCAAGCATGCCACCTTTCCCATTTTCAACGTCTTACCCCTCCTCAACGTCTCCCGTGCCCCACTGTTGTATAACACACTAAACGATGAACAAAGGCTTCCACGGCCCCAGCGCTAAAGAGAAAGGAAGGAGAAGTGGCGCGGCGTTTTGCGTAAACGCTCGCTCGCCCTCGGCAATCGGACTCAGTTCTCTCAAGCTTCGATCTTGGCAGATGGAGCGTTCAGCTGAAGTGACGGGGTGATAGGGGAGTCTAAGACAAAAGTCCACCGACGAACGACATCGAAACTCGGGCTCCAGAACCACAAAATCCTCGATCGATCCGTTACTATGTCAGGTTCCAGGCCCATGCCAAGTTCCTTCCGGGGCTAAAGAGATAGTGGACATACTAGAGACAATCGATGAAGATCGCCTTCAGCTGCATAACGTTCCTGAATATCGTTTCCTGAACCAGGGG